ATTCTGTGTTTTTCTGTCAATATGGGGTGCTGTGTGTACATTAATGAGGAAAAAAATGAACTTAAATGATTTTAGCATATGGCTGCAATATAACAGAGTGAAAAATTTAAGGGGGTCTGAATACTTTCCGTACCCACCGTATATGCACTACATAGCTTTAACCTGATGGATCTGGTCAGTCTGCTGCATTGTTTGGGCACCAAACTATCTGGCTTCACAGACAGTCTGAAAAAAGACAAAGCTTGAGGGAACATACAAATCATCCCTCTTGTTTTCTGCTGTTCGTGGCACTTTGTGCTACCAGAATCCTATCAGGTGGAATTTAGAAATGCTGCTTTGCAGTTCTCCATGCTTTGTGGCTGCTTGGTAAAGCTAAACTAAGCTGTGCTAAGCTAGCTATGCACAAACACCTTTTTTCCCCCCCCAGGAGCACTAGAGAAATCACTATAGCCAAATTAATTTTCTCCCTCCTGCTTGTGCTGCTGCAACCTGAGGGATTGTTGAGGCAGAGAATCAGCCAGAGAGAGGAGAGATGGAGCTAGAGGAGAGAAGGAAAGGGAAGCAGGGGAATTTTAATGTGGCTCTGTCTGTCTCTCACTCCCTGCCAAAGGAAAGCAATTACTATTTCAACTCCTGTCTCTCTGCTGTGTGTGTGTGTGTGTGTGTGTGTGTAAGAGAGACAGCATTTTAGCACACAGGGATTTGGTATGTTAAATGTATAAAGGGTAGATTGGCTTGTACACTGCAGGGTATTTGGGAGCATACAGTGGATGTCTGTTTTCACAGTGTAACTTTGCTTGACACTTGAAAGCAGCTAAAGCAATGCTTAGACACCAAGAAATACCCACTCTAGAACACAAATGTCAATCTTCAGTGTGCATATAATGGTGCCTCACATAACCTCTTAGTTTTACTGCTTTTCTTCTGTAGTGATGGAAGAGAGAAATCCAAAAATGCATTGTGCCCATTATGAGGCGCTTGCTGAGTGGTGCTGAAAAATGGCTGATAGATAAGAACCAAACATTTGACAGACAGGTGAAAGGACAGGTGGAGGTGTTGAGAAGATTTTGCAGACCTGAGTAAGAGGTGGAGGTTGAAGGGAGATCTGCAAAGAAATGGAGAGTAATGAGCGGAGCTTTGGAAAAGCCTATGATTGTGTGTGCTGCTCCTGTCTCCTCACTATAGCCAGAGCTTAACTAGTTCTCTGTTCGTTTCTTTTCATTACATTTTTAGGATGCGGAGGTTTGCCTACTGTAAGGTGGTGCTGGCCACCTCTCTGGTGTGGGTGATGCTTGACATGTTCATCCTGCTATACTTCAGTGAGTGCAACAAGTGTGACGACAAGAAGGAGAGAGGACTGCCCGGTAGAGACGGTGGGTGCATGTTAACACACACACCTGTGATCAGAGCGACGTACTCTCGACATCCTCCCATCAACACTGTGTGTATGTGCTGCAGATACTCTGGCAAGACCAAGAGACGGGCCCGGTGAAGGGGGCAAGCCTGTTGTGATCCCTAAGGAGAGCCAGGAGAAGATGAAGGAAATGTTTAAGATCAACCAGTTCAACCTCATGGCCTCTGACATGATTGCACTCAATCGTTCACTGCTTGACGTCCGTCTGGAAGGGTGAGCAGTCTACCTGCAGCTAATCATCTTTCCTGTCACTCTTACTGCATTCATAAAGATCTTTTTAAATAGCTGTCGGTGGTATCATTACAAAATTTTCAGTACCAGTTTTCTAAAATACTGTAATTTTTAACAAAAAATCTTTACATAAATTACACATTTTGGTACATATCATTAGTTTTATTTTTCATTTCCTTGGCATTTTTGTGCAATCAAAGCAGTTTCATCACACAAAAAAACTGACGTTCTGTTAACAGTAACATCAGTAAATAAACATGTTGAACAGCATTTTTCAATACTTGACATTTTTCGCTTCTTGATGGTATTGAAATAGTTCAATCAATGCCATGAAAGTATCAGCACTATAGTGCACACAGTTGATCTATTATAATCCAAAAGCCTGACATCTGGTCTGGAATCTACACACTGTAGCCTGAGCAGCTGTTGTGCAATAAACATTAATTATAAATAACGATATGGAGTGAGACACATCTATGCGTACCTAAGTCAGGGTAACAACTATAATTATATCTCAGAATTATAATGGGGCTGGGCCCAAATATTCAGATATTCATTCACTGGGTAGGTGATCAGTTTTCAATTTTAGTATTTGATTATTTGAGACAGCAGGAAATTTCAATGCAGCCTAAGTCCAGCAATGAAGAGGAAAGAGAACATAATGGAGACAGCTTGGTCCGATGATGCTCACATGTCTGAAAATGTTAGAGCAGCTCTCTAAATAAGCCTACACATTACTCGGATAGGCCACCAGATATTCTAAATCTAAATGGTGACTTTCTTGCCTGAAAAAAAAATCATAAGACCAATTTTCGGATGAAAGATTCACAGGTCAGTAAATCATAAGCGAAACATTGTTAAAGCACAAATGACACCTCGTGTAGTAAGGCAAAGAGACAATGAGCTGCAACCAAATCTATATCAGGATGAGCTGTTTTCATGAAATAGCTTATGTGCAGCCAGCTGTAAGATGGTTACGCAGGGATGTCTGAATGATGCCCTGAGTAAAATCCCTTGTGTGTGAATGACAGAAATTCAATTCAGTTTAATTTGTATACCCCCAATTCACAACAGTTCACTCAGGGCACTTTACATAATCAGGCCTAGACTTTACGCTATTATAGGGAAAACCCAACAAATCCCCCTTGACCAAGCACTTGGCCCCAGTGGGGAGGGAAACTCCCTTTAACGGAAGATACCTCTGACAGACCCCGGCTCTTGGTGGGCGGCCTTCTGCCTGGACCGCTTGGGGTGAATGGATAGAGGAGAGAGAAAGAAGAAAAGCATCAGGACGCAACAGGTTATTATGGTGCCATGAAATATCAGAAGAAGAAGAAAAGCTGTTGCTTTAATGGACTGATGAAGCAGCAGTGTTACGTATCTCATGTCTGAAAAGGCCTATACTGTAGAAACAGGTTGCGGTGTAATCTCCGCTGTGACCCCTCCCCGATGAATATTTGGATATTTGCTGGTTAATACTATCTAAATTCTGAAGCCATTCGGGACCGTCCTAAATTAAGTGTTTTATTAAAGCACGTCCCTGTGAGCCTTCTGGCTTGACTTTCTCCCTGCCCTCTGTAGGGAGCCATGGAAAGCCAATAAACTCAATAAATCCATGTATCTTCTGCAGAGCTTTGTTGAAAACAGTTTTTGTATAGAGGATTTCTGCTATCAATGTGGTGAAGATTGTTTGTCTGGCCACTGTCCTTTAAGCTCATCAGGAGCTGCTAACAGATCAACAGATGTTCTGATGATAGATGTGCTGAACAGAAGTTGAACAAATCCGGTGATTAGTAGCACGTGTGTGCTGCTCACTTTCTCTTTTAATGTGGATTCCCAGTAATAATGTTGCTAAAGCTCATAATCTCTTATTTCTTTGTGAGCTCCCAGTGACACCAGAGAACATTAATATACAAGAAACAAAAAAGCGCAGTGTGACCTACGGTCACCATATATGATTTTGAGGATGTGGGATGACTGGTCCAGTCAATGAGTTACCAGTCAGCCTGTACAGCTTCACACTTACAGATTTTGGTTCATTTGTAAAGTCAATGTGAACATGAACCAGACCTGAAGTAAAAGGCAACAGTACAAATAATTGTTTTTAATTTTGGTCTCAAACATTTAAACCAAAGTGTGAAAGCAGTGACTCTTTATTTTACTATGTTTCCACTCTGAACATACTACAGACTCAAAACCTGTGTAGAATTAGTATGTAGCATGGACGTGGGACACAGCAAGCCAGTACATTTATATGGTGTTAGTGGGTGTTACTATATGGTCTATCCAGTGACACATGACTAACTCTAAATAATGTCAACAATCCTTCCTTTCTGTCTGTCCTATCTAATCAAACTGCATTTCTCTCCATAACTAATAGCCCGTTGGTTCCTTCCCTTTCCAACAGGAAATACGTCACATTAACCCTCCTGTTATGTTGCAGGTCAAATTGACCCACGAACATAACTGCTTTAAATGAGACAAATATTTGATATGAAGGAATGAACGTAACAGGAGGGAACCCTCCTGTTATGTTCATTTCTCAGGTGATGCCTGCTCAGCATGTATGTTCGTGGGTCAGTTTGACCCGCAACATAACAGGAGGGTTAAGGAAGTAATGATGCCAGTCCTTGAGAATAACAGCCGATTGACCTCTGGTGCACCACACCTTAATCTCAGTGCCTTGTAGTTTTATTAGCATGCAAAGAAACTAATGGTTAGAAAGTAGCTGTCTGCCCCTTTTTTATTTTGCTTTAGTGATGCTACCCTATTGCATGTCCTTTTCCTCTGTATAATGAGGAGTTTAGTGTTCAGACAGGCAGAGAGATGAGCAGTCCATCCAACAGACAGGCCTGCATCCAGCCAGCAGATTGAAAGATACGTCAAGTTTAGATCAAGCAGGTGGAAACCAGTTTGGTCTCTCATTCCCATTTGCTCCTTTTTTGCTTCAGGAAAAAGGAGCATATATAGATTAGTAATGAAGGTTTTGAAAAAGATAAACAGAGAGACTGACAGATGCAAGACTGACAGGCAGGGGCACACGCAACACCAGACAGGCAGGAAAGAAAGAGGACATTGATCCGTGAAATGGGTTTTAGTCTTTGAGTGAGAGTTGATTACTAGGTGTGTTTTCACTCAGCCTTTTTGCCGTCTATCTGCTTTTCCAATTAGGAGATAAGACCGAGTCAATATCAAGCAATGGAATGTGTGCCTCTGTGCGTAGGCACACGCACGATGCTTGTTCTTGTGTGTGTGGATTGGCAGTTTTAGGGAAACTGAATGAATTCATCATAAACAAGAAGGTCACCATTAGCTGAAACCGTGAAGCAGAAACTCACTGATAGATTATTTTCGTCACTGTCAGCAGTGCAGTTGCTGAATGTACAACCCCAAATCAGAAAAAGTTGGGATGGTATGTAAAATCCAAATTAAAAATGAAAATAGTGATTTTTAAATCATCAGTGTCTTGTATTACATTGAAAACAATACGGCAGCACATTATTTGATGCGACACCTCATCAGTTTTATTCTTTGTTCCAAATAAACACTCACTCCATTTCTGATGGCTGCAACAAATTCCAAAAAAAAGGTCAGGACAGTAAAGTATTTACCACAGTGTGATGTTGCCATTTCTCTTCACAACACTTAAAACATGTTTTAGATTTGTCATTATGACAAGTCAAGCCTGTGTGTGTGTTTGAGTGTCTGGCAGTGCTTATGTTTTATACATGAGTGAGCTACACTTTCCATCACCACACCTTACAGAAAACTTGATATTTTCTCCTTCTTTTAGATCTGCAACATTTTTAATGAGAACGTATATACAGATACTTGTGCGCATGTGTGTCTTGTTGCAAGCTGTTTAATCAGAAGCAGTCTGCCCACCCATCCTAACTATCCCCAGATTCCTCTGGCTAGAGAAACAGCCTGTAAGTCATTACCCGGATTTGCTGTTGCCAAATGTTGCTCCACCGCCGACAGTTTGTATACACAGGATTTGAACCCAGTCCTCACGTTTTAAAATCCAAGTCATGTGACACAGTGACATTTGTGCATATGTCAACTCATGTTAGTTGGGTGGAAGCACGGTTCAGCTACACAGTAAAGACTGTAAAAGACTGTATTTGGAGAACCGAAAGTCTTTGTTAAACTGAGCTAAAAGAAATAATGAAGTGATGTGTATAAAAGTTGAAAGAGTCCAAGGGTGTCTCTGTTTTTACAGTGAATCATCATGTGTTCTCATCAGCCTCCCTTCCTTGAAGGGAGTAGGGGCATGCACACCACAGCCTGAAAACCAGTGTGTGTTACTTAAGATGCTTCAGAGGCAGCTGCAGGATGGAGTATATTCTTGACCTCCTCTCCTCTGTCGCTGTTACATCGTTTCTGTCAGAGGGAGGTTTCAGTTTTGTCATCAGTATAAAACAGGTTGAGCTGTATATATGCGTATATATACTCTATATGCTTCAGCTGTGAAGGACGTGTCCCTGGAGGCTGCAGTGTTTCTTGACCTTACAATGTGTGCCTCTGTCTCCTGTCAGTTTAATGTGTTCTCCATTAAAACTGAGTTATTTCATTATTGGAGAGGAGCATTTAACATTCATTTGCAATTGGAGGAGTCCATATTTTGTGCCATCTGTTGTGCAAATCAATCCATCTGCAATATGTGTTATTCCCTGTGCTGTCTGTTCAGAAATGAATTGTTAATTTTGGTTGGAGATTACAGAAGACTCATATGGCTTAAAAATGGCATCTTATTTACAGAGTCCTTTTATACATGACTATTGCAGTGTAGGATATGAATGTGTCCTTATCTATGCAGCATCTACTGTAGTCTGCATGACCCTGAAATGAAAATGTCTAAAATATCAGTCACTCTTTAGTAGGAATCCGCAAATTGAAAGACTGATTTTGTTGGCCATTGATGCTGCAAGCTAGGTAGGAATGATATGGATGCAGTAGGGACGTAACAAAATTTGTAATTTCATGATATTGCAATAGAAAAAAAATGTCTCTAATGCCATAGGACTATGACAGTATCTAATTATGGTTATTTCATTAGCATACCCGCGTGCTGGTGGTAGAATTTGAAACTGACATAGCGGATGTGCCATCTACTTTTAGAGCAGCTGTGTGGGAGTGTTTCAGTTCTGTTTCAAGAAGTGACACAGGCAAAAAGGAAACTAACAAATGCTGAACAGTTTGCAAATACTGCTGTACAAAGGCAATACTAGCCCCATATAGGACTGAGTCCCAGATACGTCTCTTGTATAGAAAGGTCAGGACACGACTGTGCACAACACTTTAACAAAGATGGGCAAACATATCAGACGCACATAGGCCCAGCCACACTCAGTCATCTTTTGGAAAAAGTAGACCATAATGTTTGAAAAACACCTTCTGTAAAGACCTTACCTTCTCCTCATTCTGGTGCGCTAAGCAGCAGTTTGCTCCTGGTGGTCAGGGGTGGGGGGGCTACACGCTTCAACTGGTCCAGGATTGAGAACCTGACCACCGGTCGGCACAGCCACCAAACAGAAAAATTTAAACCTGCTGAGGGTGTAGTAAAGCACGGATGTTCCACTGCGAGTGTGACTTGTTTTATTTACAAGATCCACCTACTGAAATAAGGCATTATTTAATTTTAACTCATAAAAGGACTGCTACTGTCTGCTGCATTAGCTTATACAAAATTATGCAGATTTATTATTTAATGAAGCGTGTTTTTCATCTTTTTTTTTTTTCTTCACTTTTTGTGATAAATATTGTATCTTGGACTTTTTATTGTGGCAATATTATACCATGGGTTTTTGGTATCATACATCCTTAGGATACAGTGTTCTCATACAGTATATAATGTATTCTAAAAGTGATATATATCATAGAATACAACAGTAGGTATAATGGGAATTTAGTAGGCTGGGCTACTTACTTCAAACATCTCTGCAAGCAGGTTTTCATACTAAAATAAAATAAATAACATGCTAGTAGTAATTAGTAAACCTCAATCAGTGGCCACCTGAAACATAAACTATAAGTATGCTTTAGGCATCGTTCAGGTGTCATTTGTTTTATATTGCAAACTCACCAGTATTGATAACTATTTAAGTAAATCTGTGACCCAGTCTTCACTGATGCCCATCTTCTGTCCACTCATGCCTGCTCTCCTCTGTTAGACACTTACATCTTTCTCTGTCTCTCAGCAAGAGAGTTTAATATGTGTGCTCTGCACTGCTGTGATAATGACTTGCACTCTAATTAGCATCACTAATCAGCTGTCATCTTGCTGACCCACTATTTTTCTGTGTCTCTGTCTAAATTTGGGGATATACACTTGGTTGCTTGCCCATTATGCACTCTCAATATTCTTTGTATGAAGCCATTAAAACTGTGAATTATTTTTCATACGGCCATAATTGATGGTTCCATGACTGACTAATGCGATTTAGTTTACGTTGTCATGTCTATTTCCCTCATGTTCAGCTCTTTGTGGACTCACTTCAGCTGCAGCTCTGTCTGTAGCAGTCTCTTACAATCAGACAGAGGCTGGGCTGTGATGTCTCTACTAGAGTTTTTTTTTCCTCTGTCAGTTCAGCTTTGTGTCTTCAAAGCCTACAGCTCTTTGTCTAACCACATCTGTGTTGGGGTCTGATGCAATTCACACACACTTGATGTTCTTGTACCCTGTGAAGTTGTGTTGTTTTGATACTTGTCATTAGAAGAATTGTATGTATTATATAGTTGCATGCTAAGTGTTTTGTGTATCATTCCACTTTGAAAGCAGGCTCTGTCACAGTGTATATATATTTATTAATAGATTCTTTTTTTTTCTGTCTCACTGCGTATTTTCTTGTCTTACAAAAATGCAGTGAGAGCCAATTCCTTGTGTGTATAACATCCTTGGCACATAAAGCTGATTCTGAATCTGATGTTTGTGCCGTTCACTATGTCATTCTGATTGTTTTGTATTCCCTCCGTAGGTGCAAAAACAAGTTATACCCCGATAATCTTCCTCGTACCAGCGTGGTGATTGTATTTCATAATGAGGCGTGGAGCACACTGCTGCGGACCGTCCACTCTGTCATCGACCGCTCTCCACACACATTGCTGGAGGAGATTGTCCTGGTGGATGATGCTAGTGAGAGAGGTATACAGACGCATACACTAACACACACACTGCAGATAATTCCCTCAGAGCCTCTTGTTTGAGGCTTGGTCTTTTTTTTATAGCAAGAATGTATGATTTGGTGTGTGTGTGAAGCAATGTTTTTGCATGTGTGCGTCTGCGCTGGTGCCCAACAGCCAGACAGCACATGCTATATGGACTCCATGTGCACTCCACCCTCTCCAATGCTGTTAATCTCTGTTTGAGGAAGATTAGGTTTTTAATTCCGCAGCTGCAGGGATTACACTCTGTTATTACCTTTAGTCCCCCACCCACCCGCCACCACACAGCTCCGTTTCACCATGTTGGGCGACAGGGTGGATGGCGCATGTTAGAGAGCTTGTGTGTGCCAGGTATTACTCACAGTGTGGGGACTTGGCCGGCCTCGTGGGGATCAGATGTTGAATGACAACTTGGTTTTGAGGTTAGGATAAGTTTAGGGTTAGGATAGTTACTGTAAAGTCCCCATGAGGAATGAAAACAGGTGTAAATGAGTGCAAGGGGGAGAGCTCTCTGCAGATAGGATGGGTGTCTGCAGCAACTCTTAGCTTTGATCTCTGTTGCTATAGAAGAAATAGGTTAGAGCATTGGCCAGGAATCCAGTGTCTGACTTTGGTGTGGGCTTATATGTGTGTTGTATTCTTTTTATTCTCATATGTGTTTATTTATGTGTTTCAGATTTCCTCAAACGGCAGTTGGAGCAGTATGTCAGAAGGCTTGAAGTCCCTGTCAGAGTGGTGAGGATGGAGCAGCGGTCCGGTCTTATCCGTGCTCGCCTCAAGGGAGCATCCATTTCCACTGGCCAGGTGTGTGTATGTGCATATATGCGACATCCACTACCCAGTGACCTGTTCTCCATATGGTATGTGTGCACTGCTGCGTTTGTCTTCTCTCTGTATTCTAGGTCATAACCTTTCTGGATGCTCATTGTGAATGTACCACAGGGTGGCTAGAGCCTTTGCTTGCCCGTATCAAGCAAGACAAGTAAGACACACATCTACATGAAAGACGCACGCACACACACACACACACACACACACACCACCTCAGAGCATAAAAAACAAAAAAAAAATCAATAAACTGCTGTTGAACCTGCAGGGGGCTTGCCCTTGTCTTTATATAATGCTTAATTCCTCATCCTCTGTTTACTGCTTCCCACAAGCAGGTACTCACACACACACACACACACAGAGTTTATGTTTCGTAGTCCATGGGGACTTTACATCGACTTATGTGCATTTCCTGTAGACTAACCCTAACCTTAACCAGAACCATTACTTGCCTAACCCTAACCTTAACCTTAACCTCATCCTAACCCTAAACCATGTTGCCACCCTAAAATTCAATTTCTTGCCCATGGGGACCTCAATTTAGGTCCCCACCGTGAAATGGGTCCTCATGAGTTGGTATGGAGTCAGGAAGAAGTCCCCACGTAGCAGGAAAAACACGTCCACAAACACACACACAGACCAGCACTTAAGGTTTAAGAAGATGTAATGAGTGGTGGCTGATGGGAAGTCACAGCACAGTCCATTGTTTAAATGTAGTTATTTCTGGAGGTGGCCCGCCTTGCAGATGAGCATTTAGACCAGCAAAGGTTATGAACAGCAGGCTGCTGTACTGTATGTGTGTACAGGTGGATTACTGTGTATGTGTTCCTGTTTGCTGTAGGAAAACAGTGGTGTGCCCCATCATCGATGTGATCAGCGACGATACATTTGAGTACATGGCAGGATCCGATATGACGTATGGAGGCTTCAACTGGAAGCTAAACTTCCGCTGGTATCCTGTACCCCAGAGAGAGATGGACCGTCGCAAAGGAGACCGCACGCTGCCTGTCAGGTGGGTGATGCAGCAGGACAAGCCTACAGCTGGAGCATCCGAGTTTGACTTGCATTATTAAAGTGTCCTTCGGTGTCCCCGTAACCCTTGACCTCCATCTTGTGGCAAATAAAAAGAGAATTTACCCATAGGAACAGCACTGACTCATTAGTAATATACCACATCCTCATAATTACTCTAGGAGTCAGCTGTTTAAAATATCATGAGCTTTAGCACTGATGATAGGCATTCGCAGCTTATGTGTTCAGAATAATCATACTTCATTTAATTTTCAGCAGTGTGTTCTCAAGGCAGACAAGCTGAAAGAATACAGTGAACTTTCCTCTGTAGCTGGAGTCAAGTTGTTTATGTAAGATTCTGTGTAATTCTGTTTCTTATATCATTTGTCATGGACTGGAACTTGGAAGTAAAATCAAGAGCTTATTTTGTGCCTGTCCATCATTTCTTCTTCCTGCTCTTGTTTCTAAGCATGCTTGACGCATTATTCAAGGTCACATGCATAATATAACTTGTGTAACAATGTGTGACCCTGTTTGTGTGTGTTTTTCACAGCTCTGCATGACAAATTTTTCCTAAGGGTGTCTTGTAACTGGCCTAAAAATCAAAAAGTGGGTTGTAGTGTTAGAGCAGGAAATTAGGAAGCACTTTTCACTAATGACATGATTTACATAGACCTTGTCCTGTCACAGAGTAGTTACACATTATTATTAAAAGCTATTTCAGGTTGATTCTGGTTTTCAGTCGAGCAGCAGAGTAGTTCACATAGTAGAGAATGTGCCTGTGTTAAATCAGTAGAGTATGCTGATGCAATTTTTGTTTTGGTGTTAAATGGTCGTTAATATGATTACTTAGGGAATTGCTCTTGATTAGCAAATGTATAGCAAGCTGTGGGCTTGTTGCTAGAGTCACAGTGCAGAAGGAAAGCTCAGCAGCTGAAGTAGTTATTGCCTCATCTAACTTGTAATTTACAGTACTGTGTGGAATTTTGAGGACACTAAAAATTTCTGTTTATAGCTACGGGACAGAAAAGACAGAGGTCTTATGAAAAATCCTCTGGCAGTGTGTCCATTAGAGCTTATGTAGATGACAATTTACTACTTTTATTTACAGCTTTAGTTGCTTTATTTTGTCATTATGGTAGTGTTTGTCACTGTGTCTTTTAGGTAATTAACCATTTAGGCAGATGTGTTTAAATTGTGTTAATGATTCTCTGCAAATTAGTAGTTTTGTTTGTTTTTACTATGATGTAAATTGTAAATAGTGAGTTAACTGAAATCTGGCAAGTTTAGAGAACTTTTTCAGTTTTCAGTTAAAAGAAAAGCACACGTCTCTTAATGTTAAATAATAATTTAGCTGTTTTAGTTTGAAGTGCTGTTTAACAAGCACATTTGTTTTGCTCTACCTCTGCTTATTATTTCCCACTCTTAGCCAAGTGGTGCAAACAAACCATCACCCTGTGTGCACTCAGGATATGTCTCATCTGTGTTTGTTGGTTTGTATGCAGGGTACATTGGTACGTGAGCTTAGATGTCAAATGAAAGCAAAAGCAGGCTGTAAGGAAAACAAGCATGATGCATGACAGAGGAAACCATTCTGTGAGGGGGAGAACCTACAGGCCATTAAACACTGACGTGACCATCACAGCAACAGTGAACAAAGTGAGCAGAAAAACAGAAAATGAAAAGAAAAAAAAAACAGGAAAACAGCAGAGAACAGGGGGTGAGAGCGGTGAAATATAAAACTCTGATGGGATTTGTAGATAGTGTGTGACCTTTAGAAAGCAGCGAATGAGGTGGCACTGATTCACTTCACTCCCAGTTCATCATGCGCAACTGTTTCTCCAGGACTCCCACCATGGCAGGCGGCTTGTTCTCTATAGACCGAGACTATTTCCAGGAGATCGGCACGTATGACGCAGGCATGGACATCTGGGGTGGAGAGAACCTGGAAATCTCTTTCAGAGTGAGTGAACACACCCGCAGCCAGTGACATTACTTTATTCTTCCATTTACTGGCAGGCACTCAGGAATGTCTGCTTGGGTTCAAAAGCACACATTGCACTTGCAAGTTTGACTAAAATGTTGCCTTGACTAATATTTTGTCAGCCGTCATCCTGACTGGCTCTCAGTCACATTTAATCAGTCGCAGATTGCTGCTGTCACAGTCTGCATCATCCGTCCCCCGTAGAGTTCACTTTTAAGCCTTTGCTCATTCAGCGATCAGCCATGTGTCTTCTGCACAGTTTATTGTACATGTGTATGTTGGTGTTCACAGATCTGGCAGTGCGGCGGGACTCTAGAAATTGTCACATGCTCTCATGTGGGTCACGTGTTTAGAAAGGCGACGCCCTACACATTTCCTGGTGGAACGGGACAGATCATCAACAAAAACAACCGCCGCCTGGCAGAAGTGTGGATGGATGAATTTAAAAACTTCTTCTATATCATCTCTCCCGGTGAGCGCGACTGTGTGAGCTTTGGTGCTCATGCAAGTATGCATGTATGTGTTCATGCATGGAGGTTAATCTTTGTAGCAAGTGTGCTCTGTCCATTAACCTGGTGACAGTGTGATATTGCAGTGGTGACCCAACAGTGTGGAACAGGGGGGTGGCGAGTAATTTCACACTATGACTCATCTGTTAACTCACATAAACATTCCCCACACTCGCACATGCTGGCAAAGGAGCGACAACCAGAAGTAAAGAAAAACGCCCTGAACAGAGACGTTTTTAGATGAGAAGCACCTTGTGGATTTTTTTTCTAACTCACTCACACACTCATCTGCATTTAGGGTGGTTTCACATTAGGGCCCCACACCTGGATCTGAGCGCACTTGACTCCAAAGTCTGGTTCATTTGGATCAGTGTGAACACAAGCATACTGGACTCAGCAACATGCCCAAGTCCGCTTAAAGGCGGACTCGAGCTCAGTTCATGTGTACTTAAGTACAGTCCACAGGTCAACGCAACCGTGCTCAAACAAGAAAGTGGGCTTCTATGTGACGTCGTAACTATTCGACTCTGATTAAACATTAACTAACGTGGCTGTGAACATATTGATGGAGGAAATAGGCAGTTTTAAGAGTTGACACAGACTTTAAATCAAAACTAAAACTCATTCACTTTTACCAAAAAACTTTTCCTAGTTTTTGACCTCACCTACAGTACAGTAAAGAAATGGCCATACCATGGATGTATTAAGGGAGAATTGGATACTGGATTACTTGGCAGCACTTACTTATTTATAAAAGTTGCTCAGTAGCGCATACTCCAAAAAACTTCTTTATGCGTCCGGATTCCAGCCATACATATTACCAGGATGTTGTGCATGCTTCTGTACTTTTGGGCCCATCAAGCGTGCACACTTGAGTCGAGCCTAGTCTCACTTTTGGGCGTGCACACTTGAGTCGAGCCTAGTCTCCCTCCAGACAAGTCGACTGATTTCCAGTTGGCTCCAAGCACACACGATTGTAATAAAATAAGTGTCCACAGCTAAACTAGACTTTCCAAATGATATTGGACCCAACTAATCGCATTTGGATGAAAAGAGTCACTATGTGGGGTCTGTGACACCATTATACAGCTGCTCCTTTTCCAATGATTCTCTATGGGAAAATGTTTTTGGGGCCACCAGTGTGTGTGGCAGGGTGAATACAGAGGTTGTAATACAGTGGTTTGGCCGCTACATCAGATTTGTTTTACAGCCCAGCACTGTTCCTGTACATTGCGTTAGAGTACCTGTTTCCTGCTCTTCCTATTGCTTTGCAGCCCAGCACTGTTCCTGTACATTGTGTTAGAGTACCTGTTTCCTGCTCTTCCTTCATTCAGCCAGCAGAACTGTTCTCTCATAGCTCAGTCAGCGGCCAGTGAGAAGTGGATTATCTCACATATCTTCTGAAAGTAGGTCTTTATTGGAATCTTTTGTACCAGTCATTGCTGAATGCCGACCTCAGCCCTTCTGCAAAGGGGCAAGTTCCCTGTAAAGGTAGCTTTGATGTTCAGCAAATAGATTTTTATTGGTGTAGCCTTCAACATTAGGCCTTTTCAAGTATTTGATCATCAGACAAATGAGCAGTTCCATGATATTGGGGGTGTTCTTGGGTGTTTCAGGTCCACTTGTGGCCTTTAACACGTATATGGAAAAATACATCTAACCGCTATTCAACAGATACAGGTGTAAATGTTTGGTGCCATAGTTGTAGACCTCCATGTCATTTTCATGTTTGTGTGTTTGTGTGTGCCGATGTAGGAGTGACCAAAGTGGACTATGGTGACATCACGTCTCGCACAGGCCTCAGACAAAAGCTTCAATGTAAACCCTTCAGTTGGTACTTGGAGAACGTCTACCCAGACTCCCAGATCCCCAGACACTATTACTCCCTGGGAGAGGTAGCTTCACACATGCCCACACACACATAACAATGTCTGACTCACAAAAGTTAGATGCCATATTTCACTGGACAACAAACTGGCACAGATGTGATTCACTGCCTTTAGGCTAAAATCCAAGAGGATGAAATGTATCTAAGGCAGTTTGAATTAAAAAAGGTGTGGTTTTATGTTCAGTTATGTTCTTACTGTGGTTTTTGTGCATATTCGGCTCAGATCCGTAACGTGGAGACCAACCAGTGCCTGGACAACATGGCCCGCAAGGAGAATGAGAAGGTCGGCATTTTCAACTGCCACGGCATGGGAGGCAACCAGGTAAAAGAGGAACAAGACAGATCAAGAAACAATGTAAATAAACTAGTGATGAAACAGCAGAAGAGATAAACAAAAGTGTTAATTATCACTAGTTACTGTTGGCCAGTGCTACAGTCATTGCTGGCAGTTGTAGTGAAAGGAGTGCGAGAAGAGAGATGGGAAAGATTTCAAATCAGGAAACTGTTTGTGTGATGTGTAGGTTTTCTCTTACACGGCCAATAAGGAGATCAGGACAGATGACTTGTGTCTAGATGTTTCCAAGCTAAATGGACCTGTCATGATGCTCAAGTGCCACCACCTTAAAGGCAACCAGCTGTGGGAGCACGACCCTGTGGTGAGTGGAAGAAATAGTGAAAATGTGCATGTTCAAATCTTGCAAAGTTGTCAGAATTTTACAAAAATATATAAAAAAAATTCCACTGCACACCAGCGATGTCAAGGTAATCTTTATTTATTTTTTAATTTGTGCTCATAACTACAAATTTGCGAGTAACACATTTCGCATTGTGGCTTCCTCAGGCTCACTCATGAAGCCACAGTGCAAAATGCGTTGTGTCCTGCTCCTCCTTGGCACCTGGTTGGATGGATGAACAACCGCCATCTTCAACTTTGCACAGAATTATTTTATCTGTGGCTTAGAAATGAGTTTTTATGCCTCTGCACCGGCAATGTCTGAGCAAGTGAAGAAGAGTTGTTAGATGTGTATTAGAAATGTCCCGAACCCATACTAGGAATCGTATCAGCACCAGTCCGGGCATTTTTCACAGGATTGGTATCGGCCAGAATAAAACCTAATTCCTAAGCCGCAGCCGCCACCAACAGTAGTTGGTGTCTGTAGTGCTAAGAGTGTGTTGTCCAGCTCCCAGTTACTCCTTTATTCATATCAATAATTGAAGAAAATAAACTTAGTATTTTGGAACCAGGACCTGATCCAGTATTTGGATCAAGAAGCTACTGAAACATATAGTGTGCCAATACAGGGGACCAATAAACTGGATCCCTAATGTCTGTACTTACCACAGATGTTATTTTTAAATCATGTTTTTAGTTCTAGTTTTTTTTTTTCTGCTTTCAATAGTTTCTTATTAAGTAAAAAAACGAATGGACAGAGTTTTTAAGATTAAAAATATAATATGCTCTGAGTTTTCCCAGTACATTCAAACAGAACATCTTTCGCCAACTGTCATTTCAGTCAGTGGGATATTTATTGCCTCCAGTTTTAGGGAGACTGAGACATTACCCAACCCAGCCACAGAAACTGTGGGTGGGTTGAGGAGCTGGCTGACACACTGAGCCAAAATTAAACTATGGCTCAAAATTAAAGTCTGGGAAAAATAACATGGTAATTGAAATCAAAGATACAGGGATCCTTGTGTACAAATGTACTGTTTGAGTAAAGATTTATTTAGTGTCCAAGTGAATTCAAATGAACCGGTCAGAAGCCTGATTTGCATCTCCTCACAAAAACCCGCTCTGTGTTTCCCCGCCATGCAGAAGCTGACTCTAGTCCACGTCAACAGTAACCAGTGTCTGGACAAGGCCAGCGAGGAGGACAGCCAGGTGCCCAGCGTCAGAGACTGCACACACACACGCTCCCAACAGTGGCTGCTGCGCAATGTCACACTACCAGAGGTCTTCTGACCACACTCTGCGCACTCACATACATACATACACAAACACACACACACACACACACACACTCTCACACTCACACAGTGGCCCAGAGTAAGCGATCTGGAATGGACGTGTTTATTAAAATTGGGCATCAGGAAAGGAAAGACTTCCCATGAAGGGATTTGGGAAAAGAGGAGGATGGATTGGATGGTACTACCTCTGCCAGAGATCAGAGGGAGGAGTGTGTTAGACCCTCCGTAGAGCAGGGAGAGAGGAAAGACTCCCTCTAGGAGACAATGGCTGTTTTCTCACATTTGGGGGGGGGGTTTTTGTTTGTTTGTTTTTTTTTTACAAGAGATTTTAACAGCAGAGAGTGACTCTCCTGTGCGTGAACATGAGACCGGCCGGTGAAGTCGAGGTTCTGCACTCACAGCTTCCCTGGACATAGCAGTCCAACCCTCAACTCATCACTTAATGTCAACTGCCTCTTATGAGAGAGTGTGTGCACTTATTTGTGTGTGTATATGAATGTGTGTGTATGTTTTGAGAGGGGGGTGAATTTCTGTTTTTTTTTTTTTTTTTTTTCCTGATCAGTTGGAATTGAAATGTTTAAAAGCTGGTGAACTATGAAGAAGTATGCATGAGTAGGTGTGTGAGAGAATGTCATGTTTGCTTGTGTGTGAGCCCCTCCTACAATCTCACAGCTGTGTATGTCTCCCTCTGGTGTTAATCCTCAACATCTCACCCCACCGACTGAAGCCTCCTCACTGAGGAATATTCAAGGGACTGCACACAAAAAAAAAACATGCTGAACACAAGGATCTGAAGTCTGCCATCAGCAGAGACTTAGAGAAAATGGTGTTTGTTATATCTTGAGATTTCTATGTCTAGTTTTTACATGGCTTTGTCTGTTTCTACAGTCCTGTGAGAGTGCCACACAGCAGTAACCCTAGTCTGTCCCATAGTCTGTCCGTCTCTGTCTTCTTTGATGATGTGTATCATAGAGCTAACACACACAGGAGTCTGCGTATGTAACCAATGTTCACTGCCTAATGTAGTGCTAAACAGAGGGAGCTCTCCTAGAAGGCACTACATAGTCTTACAAACATGTATACATATAGGAGAAAGGCTGCATGAGCCTGATACTTTAATCCAGTTTGTCATATCTTCTTCTCAATGACCTCTTAAAACATACACTCCAAGGGCTTCTTTCCTCTAATGGAGTGTGGAGGTGTTGGTGTGAGTATGAAGGTGCGCCCATCAGCTCCCTGTTTACTAGAATAAACAGCTCTCAGATTCTTCAAGAGCCTGTAGCATAGACCGACAGCAGATCAGTGAACTCCTAGTTCTGCTGTATAAAAAGCTCAGAAGTTGTTTTTACTTTTTAAACCAACCCGAGTCTTCACACTCTCCTGAAGATATACTATCTACAGTAGGAAAGGACGCCAGGAAAGCAGCTATTAGAATATCAAAATGATGCCGTGGAGCTGTGGTAAAAGTATTAAGTAGGGACCGAATAGCAGCCGAAGGGAGTGAAAGGGTTCACCTGTGGGTTACAAAGAGTGCAGCAGCAGCAGGTGACATACAGTATCTTTGTCCGTACTGCATATCTCTCTTTACAAGCTCACCTGTAGTATTTCACTTTTCATATCTCAGTGAACCAGACGGCAGAACAGTCATTTCAACCATCGTGCTTTATTGCTGTCCTTATTCTTTTATGGTTTCACTCCTGTGACTACGAGTCGGGGCAGGAGAGGTGAGTGCATAAAGGTTTTAACCATTTCCAACTCCTCCAGTGGAGGAAGGGTTTACACATAGGACGCATCATTAGTTCATCTTTGTTGTGGATACAGTGAGATGAGACCATTGAATGATTTTTTTTTTTTTTTTTTTTTTTTTGTTTGTTTGTTTTTTTCTGTTTTTTTTTTTGTTTGTTTGTTTGTTTCCAGGTTTGAGCGAGTGACTGGTCAAGAAGTGTTTCTTGTTTTGTTCTCAGTGAGACAGAGGGAGTGTATTGATTGGTCTGATTTTGGGGAGGAGGCGGGTGTTTGAAGTTAACTGACATGTCCTGACTTCCACACTGAGCTGATCCAAATGTAGAAAATAAAGGTGAACACGTTTACAGAGGAGGAGGAGCATATTGATTTCTGCCTCATTTATCTGCACACACACACACGTAAAACACACGTTCTCCTCAGAAACAGTGCACAAAGGTCACTGTCTAACTCATGTAGGAAGGTATGTTATCTTCACAACAATATAAGTATATATCCCAAATGATACAGATTTTTTTTTGTTTTATTTTTGTAAAAACATTTGACAGTTTAAAAACAAACCATCAATGTATGTATGGTAATATTCTAGGCTTTTCATAATCAGTGTAAACAACGGAGGATTGTTACTGTAGAAAAGAAAACGAACGTTATGTTTACATGCAGTCTTTCTCACCAAAAGGCACTTTGTTTATGCATTTCCTTCCCAATAAATCTGAAAACCAGATGTTTTATTCCCCCTATGTTTGGGCATTTATATATTTCTCCAGCTGTCAGCTGCATTGTGCTAATGTGCATCCTCGTGAGTGTGCACTGTACAAACTAAATGGGACACTCTTGTAAAAATGTTGATCCATTAACTACTAGGGCTAAAACAAAAAAAACAAACACTTAAAGCTGCAGTATGCAGTTTAAGGTAGCACTAGTTTGAAATCAATCCGCTTGGCTCCACCCAGTGCTCCCTCTCCCTGATCCACTATGCTCTACTACAACGCTCTGCCCAGCTCATCAGATATTTGTTGTGAAATTACAATAAATGAGGATGCAACAAAACTTACTATTTAACCAGAAGTGAAAATCTCTGATTGGTTAGAGAGGTCAATCCCACTTGTAACCTTTTAGAAGCTAATGTCTCTTCACTGCTGCCAGTGCTGTTCAAAAAGTCTGGGTCACAGGAGGCTTTGATAGCACCTCTCCACATTGAGACAAGTTTTGGAGCAGATTTCTAAAACAAAAATATTTGAAAAAGTTACATACTGTAGATCCAGTTATTTGACCTTGATTGAATTTTTTTTTTTTTTTTTTTTTTGCATCAAATGCTTTTTCCAAGGCTGAAAATGAACTGTTGAGCTCAATCTTTAAGCCAACATGAACACGTTCTAAAAGTTCCCTGAATAATGCAAAGGTCTGAGCAGCTACAACTCTGTCACAGCTGAGCGAACCTTGATCTGTGATTCAGTCAGGAGCTCCAGAACAAACAAGTAAGTGTACTCTGAGTGTTTTCTCTGTTCTCTTTCTTTATGTAAGCTTCATGACATGTACTGAGCAGATGTCAGTGCTCTCTAGTGGAACTATGTAGTGACAACACTGGCACTTCTACATTACCTCAGACATAATTTTGATATTTCTGTGCTGATGTCTTGTGAACTATAACGGATGATTTACCAACTAATATATCATCTGGCTGTTGAGCCAGGTGCCCTGCTGCATGAAGAATTCAGTTTTTAAAAGAAATGGGACAAGTATTACTAAGTGGCAGATGCATGAATGATCATTAATCTCTTGTCTCCTCACAGTGAGCACGTTGCTGTAGGAGACATCAAGTCAAGGCAGAAACAAGATAAGTGTTGCAGGGAAATGAGACTTTCTCTGTGCTTTTAATAAACATGGCAGAGCAGTGTAAAGGTGATAGTCGGCCCATGTTTTGTGGAGAGTAGATTATTCAAACTCCTTGACTTCATCTGTTGAATTATACATTAGTCTGGATTAGACCCAGCGAGAGCCATCAGGAAGACACATTAGACAGTGTTTTGGATAAAGATCTTTAATATTACATGTTGCTGTCTCCACATTTGTTTTCTGAAAGCATTACCTGCAGAGTAAATCACATATTGGGATGTTTTAATACCAACATAGTTGCTCGTGACAGATTTTTTTTCTGTTTTTAAGAAATTTTTAAAAAATGGATTAAAAATTAGTAACTGAAATCTCTTATCTTCAGATCCTTTGCTGTGCTGCATGCTCAGGTGCTTCCTGTCTGCTTTAATTATCCTTGTGGCAAGTTGAAGTGATAGGACATAATTTAGACCTGCTCCAGGCTTCACATGCCCCGAGACTTGGCTCAGCCAAAGCTCAGACTTAAAGCCCAGAGAACATCTGTGGAGAGACCAGAAGATCAGTTCACAGATGTTTCCCATCCAGGCAAAGAATGGAATAAACTGTTGATGTGCAGGTGTTCAAAGTTTGTAGAGAGTACTGAGTTCAAGTACTAGGTTAATGCTCTGCATGTTCTAGTAAATGAGATTTTAGTTTTTGTTTTTAATACAAGTTTCCAAAAACATATTTTCACTGTCATTATGAGGTACTGAGTGTAGATTAATAGGTAAAAGTAGTAATTTTATGAATTTCCAATTAAATGTCTAACAAAGTGTGCAGAATACTTTGTCATGCTGCTATCTATCAGTCTCCAAAGAGCACCGCTTTGCCATTCAGTGGTCAGCAAGGCAGAGGACTCGCTGTAGATGCCAAACTGTAAATCTGCAGTGTGAATTTGATTGTTCTCTTTGCTGTCTTGCAGTCCACGGTGAAGGTTAATATGCTTCTACTAGAAGACACCACACTCTCTTCCTCTGTGCAAAAGAAAGAAGTGATTCTGCCCCGTTGAGGAGATTTAGAGCTGCATGAGCTCAGGAAGACTTCACCGTGGTTTATGAGCTGTAGATTTCAGTGGGACTATGTGGAGTCTTTGATCTGAAGGGATGGATCAAAGCCAAGTCCGACTGCAGCCCGGAGAAAGACTCCAAGAAAAGACAGAATATTGAAGTGAGTTCAGAGGAACACAGTGAATTTATAAACTTGGAATGTTTGCCCATCAAATTTATTTTAGTGTTTTATTGATACTTATTTGTCAAATCAGCCTTTTATTTGATCATTAAGGGACTGCAGTCCCATTGGTTTAGATCCATCTTTATGGCCTGGTGCATTGTTTTCTCACAAGGGAATAAAGTTAAATTGTAGACAATGTTACAAGTTTCATTAAGACAATGTGCAAAATAACTGATAATTATGTTATGTTTAGCTTTTTCAGAACTAAATTAGGATCTTGTATTTATGAAATCTGGATCTTGGGTCTTTTTCTTTTGTGTGTGTGTGTGAATGCAGTGTGCCTCTATAAATGGAACTGAAGCTGAGGTGCGTAAAAATGTTATTTTCTGCTCCATTTCATGTCGAGGTAAGTCTCCCTCTTACTAACAATAAAATCTCCCCTGTGTGTTTTTACAGATCATCAGTGTATGAACTCACCTGGGGGGGGGGCATGGTTCATTCAGCTCTCGGGTAGGATGCTCGTATTTTCTGTGCTTCCACACCTCACTTTGCTACAAACTCAACACTTCATGTTGTTAAATGTATTTGTTTTAACTTGTATTGAATACATCGTGGTCAGTGTGGCCATCAACAACAAGTAACTGCAGCTTCACAGAGCAATGGTCAGTGTGGCCATCAACAAGTAACTGCAGCTTCACAGAGCATCTCCTTAAAGACATTATACATACGTGACACACACCTGCTCCTGTTTCTTCTACAGCACAACATCAAATTTGTTGTCTTGTATTTGGCACAGACACAGTTTATAGATCAAATAGATGTCAATTGAAAATATTTTAATCTATGCAAAGTTGCTGGAATATTAATTTTTAACTACTCTAATATCACAAGCTTAAGAGCGGCAACCAAAGTAATTTGAGTATTAGTAATAGTAATATAATCCTGTGGTCAGTGTGTGGATTAGTTTTACTGGAGACTTGAAAGATGCTTGGCCTCACCGGCAGCCACATTAGGTTTTCATGGATTTGCTATTTATTCTATCCATCTGTCGAGAGCCTTGCTGACACATTGACAATCTGTAAAGCCTTCACAGAACAGATTCCACCGTATGATTCAACTCACACAAACAGAGGGAGGTTTTAAGTTCGCCAGGGAGAGTAAGATTATCAAAGGCTGCTCTTTCTTGGTTGGCGCTCTGCTTTATATTCACACAGTTCAACATAGCTGCTCGGTGCACCTCCGTCCTCTACTGCAGGCTGCTAAAAGGCAGACTCCAGCTCCACAGCAACATCTTTAGTGTTTTCACAGAGTGACACTTAGATAAACAAACCCTCTTCAATGAGTAGTCACTTAACTCAGACAATCAACATTTGTGATAGTTTTACTATTTTCAAAGCAAAAATGCAAATCTGTTCCAGCTTCTTAAATGTGTGGATGAAGTATGTTACTTTTGTCATTTTGACACTGAACTGGTGAAAAGTAACGAAGCATGTTTCCTCCAGTGCTTTAGGACAGTTTAGATTTATTTTTAGAAACTTTTTACTTTTGTTTTACTAATAAATTAAATTACTCTAGACATCTATATTTTACTTCTACACTTTGCAACATATAATCAACAACTAGTTGATTATAATAAACCAGACAGCACTCGGAGTACAAACCTCTGCCAAGGCAGCTCACTGTCCCCATAATGCCATTACACCGAAATGAGAGTTTGAGCCTCATAATATGTTTGTATGACCATGAAATCTACCTCTAGTATCTAAAATCACATTCATATCACTGTTACTTTGAACATTATTCCATAAAAACTATTTCAGTAATGGCGGTTTTCTTCAGGATCTAGCTCATTAACTTTTGAAGGTGTCAAATCTGTTGACATCCTACTGAGTCAGCAGGGTTTCAGCTAGAATTGGATCTTAGTTGCAAGTTTGTAGCATCGTTCGTTGTTTCACAGTAGATTATTTGGGATCACCACATCTGGAATATTACAGTACTTGGATCCAGATCATACTTTGTGGTTGATCTTATGCAGATGTTATCATGCAGTTTTTGTCAATGATAGGCATCGTGTAAAAGGTGGGAGCAAAAGTATTTAAACTGGTCCTATATCACAATGTTAAGAAGCCTTTAAAAAATTCCTGGATCCAGATCAGCACCAAAATCTAATGGGTTGTTCTGTGGGCCATAATGTCACCAAAATCCGTTCATTAACTTTTTGAGTTGTGCTGTGAACAAATGCCAATAAAAACATTGCTTCCTTGGCGACAGAGTACTTTTACTGTATTTCACAAATGTACATCTGAAACATTGCAGAATTGGAAATTCAATACGTAATCAGACAAAACGAGCTCTGAGAAATTGTGAATCATTTTTAATATTTCTTAAAATTTTATAGATCAAACATTTGATAGATGAATAAAAACAAACAATGAAAACAGTCATTAGGTGCTACGAATGAGGTACCCAGCAAAGCCACTGCAATTCAAACGATGTTTGTCAGTGCATATCTGGTAATTAAAAAATAGTATGTTAACGAAAGAGTGAAAAACGCTGCTTGTTCCAACCCAGAACGCATCACCATCCCCCGACAGCTAACACAGTAGCCATGAATGATCAAAGTGTCATATATAAATACACAATTCATGTGCACAGCTCATTTATTAAAGCTTCAAGTGATGTAAACTACTTCGTACTCTCCTTTCAGAAAAGTGCTCTGACTGTATGAAGTGGACAAATGCAAGAGTGGAAGAGGTGAGTAGAAATTATACATGAGGCCCGTTGTGTGGGTGAAAATCAGTCGTACAAAAAGTGCTCACAAAAGTCAACAACTTGTCAAGGTCTTCTGGGTGTAAACATGCTTCAGTACTGACAGATCAGCTCAGCATGCTGACAATGAAAATCTTGGTTGCATCAGTGCATTCAGTTTGTTTAAAAAGAAAAAACACACTTAAAATTGAAAAACAATTTAAATAATGTAAAAACCAGAACCCCCAGTAATCCTCTGGTCTCAGACTAAACCCCCTGAAAGCAGGTTGTCTAATCTGACCCACTAAAGTAGTCATCATCATCAGCCTAAGCCTGCAGCCATAAAAAAAAAAAAGCTGTGACATTTGCTATGGCTCAACCACACAGACAATTAAAAAAGTGAAACAATGGTAACAAAGCCTGGTCCAGGAGAGAAGGGGTGTATGCATTTGTTAAAGCTGAGATCTAGTGCTGTGAACTCAGCTATTATCGCTGAAATGTGAATGAAACATTCAACTTTAAAACAATAACTCCATCTTTTGAGCCAGGCGTGGCTGCATCTGTGTCGGTTCATCTCGACACAAACCAATGGAAGTACATCTCCACCAAAATGAACCAGGGCTCACGAACCACATTTTGAGTGCTGCATTTGCAACTCAGTATTTGTGCATGTGCAGGTACATAATGTAAACACATAACCAGGTCTGAGAGCGTAATCTCAACTTTTTGTGCCCTTTCACTTTGCAAAGCAGAATTTGAGAGTGCACAGGCACGGATTTGCAAACTGAATAGTGCTCAAAACTCCCCAGTGGAGAAATCTGCGAGCGCAGACTTAGAAACATGTGAACACATGGCAGGATTGCGCTCTCTGATTCTGCTCTTACAAATTTTGTGCCTGTGTGCTCTGAAATGCCGAGTTGCAAAGTAAATGGTAAATGGACTGTATTTATATAGCGCTTTTATGCACTGGCCAAAGCGCTTTACAGAGAGAGATTATACACCATTCACACACCGATGACGACAAGGCTGCCACACAACAGCGCTAGTCAGCAAAGCTCAAAATTTGGTTAGAGCGCCCTCAAACATCTGGGCAGGGATTTACTTCCACATAAACCAGCCTTTACTTGAGCCTCCACTGAATAGAGAGGTAGGGAGTACAAATACTGCACAACCACATACTGTAACTGGGACACAGCCGGGATGCACAAGGTGGAAATCGGGGCCTTTGTAGATAAAAACCATTTTAAAATTCACAACCGCAATAATTTGAGCAATTTCGCAATGTTACAAAATCAACTTGGGCCCTAAGTTCTGAAAGATGTTCGGATTAGCATCAACATCTCTGGCATTTATAATCATAATACCCAATGTGATATCATTGGTCCATGTTTGGGATAAGGGCGTACACTCACTCTTGTCATTTCAGGGTCCTGAATGAGAGCGGGTGGTAGGCAGGTACCGTAGGCAGGCGACATCACATTATTAGCCATTACACCGCCATCTCTTCTTGGTCAGGGCTCATGCCTGTAGAGCTGGGTGGCGTAGGGAGGAGCTCTTCCCCTGAGGAATTGGCCAATAGGAATCCAGACAATGTTCCAAAGGAACACCCCCTCTTGCTTTCTCAGATGTGTTATCATGCAATTTTTGTCAATGATAGGCATCGCGTATAAAGTTGGAATCAAAAGTATTTAAACTAGCCCTATATATCACAATGTTAAGAAACCTTTAAAAAATTCCTGGATCCAGATCAGCACCAAAATCTAATGGGTTGTTCTGTGGGCCATAATGTCACCAAAATCCGTTCATTAACTTTTTGAGTTGTGCTGTGAACAAATGCCAATAAAAACATTGCTTCCTTGGCGACAGAGTACTTTTACTGTATTTCACAAATGTACATCTGAAACATTGCAGAATTGGAAATTCAATACGTAATCAGACAAAACGAGCTCTGAGAAATTGTGAATCATTTTTAATATTTCTTAAAATTTTATAGATCAAACATTTGATAGATGAATAAAAACAAACAATGAAAACAGTCATTAGGTGCTACGAATGAGGTACCCAGCAAAGCCACTGCAATTCAAACGATGTTTGTCAGTGCATATCTGGTAATTAAAAAATAGTATGTTAACGAAAGAGTGAAAAACGCTGCTTGTTCCAACCCAGAACGCATCACCATCCCCCGACAGCTAACACAGTAGCCATGAATGATCAAAGTGTCATATATAAATACACAATTCATGTGCACAGCTCATTTATTAAAGCTTCAAGTGATGTAAACTACTTCGTACTCTCCTTTCAGAAAAGTGCTCTGACTGTATGAAGTGGACAAATGCAAGAGTGGAAGAGGTGAGTAGAAATTATACATGAGGCCCGTTGTGTGGGTGAAAATCAGTCGTACAAAAAGTGCTCACAAAAGTCAACAACTTGTCAAGGTCTTCTGGGTGTAAACATGCTTCAGTACTGACAGATCAGCTCAGCATGCTGACAATGAAAATCTTGGTTGCATCAGTGCATTCAGTTTGTTTAAAAAGAAAAAACACACTTAAAATTGAAAAACAATTTAAATAATGTAAAAACCAGAACCCCCAGTAATCCTCTGGTCTCAGACTAAACCCCCTGAAAGCAGGTTGTCTAATCTGACCCACTAAAGTAGTCATCATCATCAGCCTAAGCCTGCAGCCATAAAAAAAAAAAAGCTGTGACATTTGCTATGGCTCAACCACACAGACAATTAAAAAAGTGAAACAATGGTAACAAAGCCTGGTCCAGGAGAGAAGGGGTGTATGCATTTGTTAAAGCTGAGATCTAGTGCTGTGAACTCAGCTACTATCGCTGAAATGTGAATGAAACATTCAACTTTAAAACAATAACTCCATCTTTTGAGCCAGGCGTGGCTGCATCTGTGTCGGTTCATCTCGACACAAACCAATGGAAGTACATCTCCACCAAAATGAACCAGGGCTCACGAACCACATTTTGAGTGCTGCATTTGCAACTCAGTATTTGTGCATGTGCAGGTACATAATGTAAACACATAACCAGGTCTGAGAGCGTAATCTCAACTTTTTGTGCCCTTTCACTTTGCAAAGCAGAATTTGAGAGTGCACAGGCACGGATTTGCAAACTGAATAGTGCTCAAAACTCCCCAGTGGAGAAATCTGCGAGCGCAGACTTAGAAACATGTGAACACATGGCAGGATTGCGCTCTCTGATTCTGCTCTTACAAATTTTGTGCCTGTGTGCTCTGAAATGCCGAGTTGCAAAGTAAATGGTAAATGGACTGTATTTATATAGCGCTTTTATGCACTGGCCAAAGCGCTTTACAGAGAGAGATTATACACCATTCACACACCGATGACGACAAGGCTGCCACACAACAGCGCTAGTCAGCAAAGCTCAAAATTTGGTTAGAGCGCCCTCAAACATCTGGGCAGGGATTTACTTCCACATAAACCAGCCTTTACTTGAGCCTCCACTGAATAGAGAGGTAGGGAGTACAAATACTGCACAACCACATACTGTAACTGGGACACAGCCGGGATGCACAAGGTGGAAATCGGGGCCTTTGTAGATAAAAACCATTTTAAAATTCACAACCGCAATAATTTGAGCAATTTCGCAATGTTACAAAATCAACTTGGGCCCTAAGTTCTGAAAGATGTTCGGATTAGCATCAACATCTCTGGCATTTATAATCATAATACCCAATGTGATATCATTGGTCCATGTTTGGGATAAGGGCGTACACTCACTCTTGTCATTTCAGGGTCCTGAATGAGAGCGGGTGGTAGGCAGGTACCGTAGGCAGGCGACATCACATTATTAGCCATTACACCGCCATCTCTTCTTGGTCAGGGCTCATGCCTGTAGAGCTGGGTGGCGTAGGGAGGAGCTCTTCCCCTGAGGAATTGGCCAATAGGAATCCAGACAATGTTCCAAAGGAACACCCCCTCTTGCTTTCACTCATTGGTCTTCTTCAGGACAGAGGGGGTGGATTCTGTGAAGGTCCTGACAGAGACAGACAAGAGGACCACTGATGGTAAGGTTGCACTGTTCTTAAAATCTGAACTGATGTCTGCATGTATTTGAGGTGTTTACCTCAGGGGGTGGGGAGACCAGAGTGTCTGCACTGGTGTCTGCGCTGCAGAGCTGGGGCTCATCAGCATGGCACTGTAGATGTTGGCTGCCACCACCAAAATGCAGAGCAGGATGGGCCCAATGATGGCCCCCTCCAGACCGAGGTAGTATGCTCCACCTGCCACCGCCAACCCTGTCAGATACGGGTGTCCACCCCTGAGACACAGAGACTAATGTGTTAGACACAAAGGCATAGCTACAGGACTATAGCTAGATATATATCAACACACTGAATGTACTGTAGTTAAAGAAAACCAAGGATCTCTAATCATTCCTGTTGTCCATACTGGCTGTGTAGGGATCCCTGCATAGCATGTCCACAATCCTCATTTTGTACAAAGATGGAAAATTGTAGTTCATCAACAGCAAATATGAGGCCTCACAGGTCTGAGTGAGTCAAATCAAGTGGGTATCTTCCAGAATCTCAGTATCAAGTCTTGGTATCAAATTTAGCTAAGTGTCTGTGCTAAGCCAACAACAATCAAAGTGTCTATATATCTAAACAGAGGGATACATTCTGGTTATCTATATAAGCTTCTTGCCCAGAACATTCCCATTTCTTACAGTGTAGACACAGTGTGGCCAGTACAGACAAGAGGAACAATCACAGTGAGCAGCATGACTCTTCCAGTATATCTATGGCATGTTCACTGGTGTATTACGCTAGCTCAAAAAAAAAACGAAAAACCCTGAAACTTGGAGTGTAACTTGTATATATTCTACAAGGCACAAACTCCAGATGTTTTTAAACTTTGACAACTTTCTCTGCTGGTGTTTTCAAGGAACCCTCAGCACCATCCAGTCCCTTCTAGAGGAGAGAGCTCTACTCAGCTTCCTGAGGTTTCTTCACATTATTTGTTAAATAAAATTACTAAAATTACATTTGACTATGTGAATGTGTGATTTTGACTGTACTTTAATGTACAATTATGAATTCACTAGGTTAACATATACAAACTACCAGTATGGTTAAAAAACCTGCAGTTAAAAATGAGCAAACTTACAAAACTAGATTTTTAGGGAGCATGAAATGGACAACTACCACCATTACACCCCTACACTGCAACTGCATTGGTTAATCACACATGACAGTGCAAGTCTCTGAGAACTGTCACGACATAAAGCACCATCGCCACTGCAAAGCCAGTGCTGACTTGTGTCCCTTTACCCTGAGCTTACTCCTTAAGCAGCACAACAGGAAACGGTTCCATGAGCAGCTGCAGTCTGGCTTGTTTTCATTATTTCCATCTCCAGCAGCTGTTTATGAAACTGACTGAGGCAAAAGGAGGCACTGTTTATAGACTTCATCAACAGTACGGCTTCCATTCGAAGCCATTTTAGGGTAGAACCAAGGCTTGTGTGTTACACAACAGTCACAGGTGGTTTGTTGAAATTTATTGGAAAAATGTTGTAGTGCTGCACGGAGAAGTTGAAGTAACACACACAAGCTGGTAACCAGTGTCACACATTCAGTACATACCCGGAGATATCGGAGTAGATGGCTGTGTCTACAAAATATGTCGGAAGCAGATGGCAAACCAGCAGCAGCACAGCCTTGACACTTTCGCCCTGCACCAACCACAGGTCACACACTGCTGGCACCGCTGCCCAGTAGGTCCCCAGGAAGGGCACCGCTCCCAGGATGGCAGCCAGAGCTTCAGGCCATGAGAGAAGGAACCAAAGAGTGAGAAAATAGGGACTGTAGCTTGGCAGGTACTGTAACGCGACAGCACGATCTGCTGTGAACACGCTGACTCACCAGAAGGAATGAAGACAATGTTGATGCCAAAGATGGTGTGAGTGAGCCAAGTGTAGAGGCCGTAGAAGCCCGCCATTTTCAGAGAGGCGTCAAACACTCCTCTTCAAAACAGAAACACAAACGAGGTCAAAATAATTTTCAAACGTAGTTGTAGATTCTTAGCTTTTGTTAACACACATACGACAACTTGGTGCATGTGCCTACCTGATGGCCTCTTCTACAGACTGGCCTATGATATTGGAGGAAGGTCCAGGCTGGGAGAGGGGAGTCAGGCTGATCACCCATTTTACAGGCTTGTAGTATTCACCACTGGAGCTCAGCAGGTAAAAGAGAGTGGTCAGGAAGATCACCTGCATACACACAGGAATCACCATTATGAGCAATATGCATTTCATTCATTCACACACTCAAGAGGAACGTGTTCAAGAAGAGCCAAGCAAAAACAAAACAAGCTGGAACTGCAGGTTTTAACACATCAGATAAACAAGGCTGAGCCAAAGCTGAACAGGGAGTGTCTTTTTTATGATGAAACAAACCGAGCCCACCCCGTGTAATTTTGTGCTAGATAATTGACAGCGGTCAGTATTTTTATACCAGACTCAGAGCAAAGTTGAGCAGAGCCGTGCCACTGTGGAACAAGACGGTAAAGAGCGTGGTCGTCGTGGAGATGAGGAGGCCAACATTTCTACTCATTACAACCCACAGTGACTCCAAAATCTAAAAGACAACAAGGCAACAATAAACTTGTCAGACGTACACCTCTATTACAGTTATAAATACATCATACAGCTTATGACCTGCAGTTATTACACCCACTGTGGGTAAAAGCAACACAGCCCTCCAACTTATTTCATTAAAATTTATTCACAAATACTCTGAAATTGTTTTGTTTGTACCAAAAATTCTAAGGATGAAGCATTCACCTTGGGGCTTCAGCCAAAGTTTTTTTCTAATGAAATGCCTGTAATATGTGATGATGGACTGACAGTTCTATAAAAGGAAGATGTGCAAATCTTATACTTACAGACAGTAATGTCTCTATATTCTCCTGTAGAAATGAGGCGATGTCCTTCCAGTCCAGAATGTCCACTAGCCAGCTGTTCTGTCTCTGAACCATCATCTTGTGACCACGATGGCGTCCAGAATAGGTCATGTTCTGGAACATACATAGAATATTGTGACGTTTGACCTTTTAACTCACTGTAAACTTCTGTCCTCAACATCAAAAAGTTAAAGATGCATTAGTGAATTTCTTTTTCACTAGTGTTCTGCGGTCCACTGGTCCATGAAGCCATTGCAGGTGGTCCCTGGCCATGCATTCAATAATCAGTTTATTGTTGAAGCACATTTTCCTCTATCATTATCATCTCCCTTTTTTAACTTTTGTGTGAAGCACTTTGTGCTACATAAATAAACTTTACTTACTATTAATTAATGCTTGTAAATAATTTGTGCAATATATACAATTTTAAAACGGTGCCCATCCAGTCTATCCACCACACAACAGTGGTTCTCAGGTTGTTTCTTAATCACAGTGGTGGTCCCTGGGTCACAATCGGTTAAAAGCCCCTGCGCTACAGGGTCTAGTGAAACTCAAAACAGACTGACATCTTGTTTCCTAGCAACACTGTTGACGTTGACGTGACAGTCCAAAATGGGGCCAACAAGCACTAACGTTACACAAGCAGTGTCATGGTGGGGAATAGTGTAGTGAGGGACACCATGCCCCATCCAATGTTAACTTTATATAACATCATGTGAAATCTTAGTTAATGCACCATGGACTGGCCTGACCTTTTTATACTACCTTCACAAACCAAGAGTGGTACAGGCGGTCCCAAAGCTCCAAAACCTGTTTCTCAATCACAGCCGTGTGGTTCACCTTGTCTCCTAACATCTTATGCAGCTGCAAACAAAGAAAAAGAAGAAAGATTGGTTGTATAAAGTATTCTGTTTCTGCCGTCATTTTCCCCATATTTCATATAAGAGGAATCAGTGCCAATTATTTTTCCCACCTTCTGTGTTATCCATTCCCTCCCATGCTGATAGACGTTAGTAGCGGCTGAATTCAGAGCCTTCTGGACCACACGAGCCTCAGGCAGCCAACTAGAGAGAAACAGGTGAGAAGTTACAACTCCAAATGAAAGAGACAGATTATCAACAAAAAGAGTGGACTGTCATACTTGGCCCATTCTGGATGGTTAGACACCGTCTCATTGATGAGGTTACTGGTTACCTCGATGATGTGAGCGCTTTCATGATGAACCTAGACAGATAAAAGTTGCTCTGTTACCAGGACAACATCAGTACCACCGAAATACAGCAAAGCGACTCAAAGGAACAAATAATACAATACCATAGCAGTGAGCAGCAGAGCCATGAGCAGTGTCCCTGTGACTAGGAGGAAGATGATGAAGATGCTGATGATTTTATCCAGAGATCGCTCCAGCCATACAATCATCTGCACACAGGACAAACAGGCAGATGACAGTATAGATACAGAGTCAGTGTTGTTCCTTAAAGTTTAAAACATACAGTGATCAGACACATGGAGAAACCTGTGTCTTTCCCATGTGAACAGGTCATCTGGGCTTTACAGGCAGCTGTAGGGTATGATACAGGGTATTTAGGGTATGATACCCATCAGTCATTCAATGTGTACTAGTCTATTCCTAAGCAAGGTGCTGCAGTTCTTAACTCAGGTTTCTCAATGCTCCAAAACTGAATCACCAGCCAATTTATAATAAGTTTAATCCCCATTTATGTTAATGTCACAAAAGCCATGAATTAAAATCAAGTTACTGGAGTCAGTGACGCTTCAGTGGTTTTTCATTATATAGATGATGACAGGATACAGAGGTTAATTTTTCAGGCCGATGTTGAACTTTTTTTTACCATCTAAAAAAATGTAGCCTTGCGTGGCCGATTGACTGATGTAGATTAAATCCAGTACAGAAAAAGTTAACAAAAAATGGAAACACCATATCCACCACTTAGTGCAACACTAACATTTCCAATGGGCCACAGTGTCAGAGCAGCAGTTACAAACCACTTTTTTTATGTGGCATGAGGAAAATCTTGGAAATCATGAGCACATACATCTTGTAACATTATCAACTAGGCAATCAGAAATTCTCTCTCTGAATCGACACACTTCATAAATCGGCCTTCATGTTTCCAAATCTAGTGCACAAGAACAACTAGTGTAAAGCAAAACACTAGAAAAATCAGAAGAAAGGTCTGATGAGTCACCTTTCACCCTTTTCCTTGGCTGTTTTAATACTGTGGTGAATCTGCAAGTCATCCTGCACAAGCGATAAGGTCAAATGCCTGCAATGACCACACTGCTGAAACAGCCATGTAACACTACGAGGGCCTGTTATGCCACCATTCAAGATGGGCTTCGTGTCAAATGTTCACCATGCCTATCCCGAAGGTTCAAGCTCTAAACTTAACTGAACCTTTTCAGGACCAGCTTGTCCTTTACTTGTCTGCAAATACTCTGAGAAGACCAAAACCAACAATGTGCTCAGTCCATTATTCATGTCTGTGGCACATGTACATTTTTAAAAACAGGTCTCACTATGTCCTCACACAGCTGTGCACTGTAGATTTAGCAAACACATCATTTGTCACTAAAACTGGAGATTCATGCTGCAAAAAAAGTCAAGCCCCATGAGAGGACCACAGAGAGAAGTAAAGAACTAAAGATAATAGCCCAGGTTTTTTTAACCAGTGCTTCGTATTAACAAACCGGTGTTTCCATTGTTTTGTCAATGCCCAGCTCCTCTTCCACCCATAAAAGCCTGAATGATTCTTTCTGCAAGACAATGGGCAGTGTTCCTCCTACATCTCTGTCAAAAACTTTAAAGTCCAGCTTCTTCATCAACTATTTTCAGAAACGCTCTGCCTGACCTGTCAGCATCAGCCATCTCTCCATGCAGCTCAGACACTCTCAAGCCAAACCTGCCAGTAAGGCCACAGCAGAGAAGGTACAGATGGGGCTGAGGGACGTCAGAGTCCCCCCTCCCCGACCGTAGCCTTCTGTCAAAATAAAAGCAGGAAGCGGAAGAGCAGCAAGAGGACAGACGGGATGAGCGGGTGATGACAGTGGATGGGTAAAGTGCCAGTCCGAGCTACTAAACAGATGTGCACATGCCTCCATACACACCCACACAGGTTCTCTCTTTTTCCTTGTTCTCTCATATACAAACACTCTGTCAGTCTCTCTCCTTCAGCACTCTGCTCCTCTGTATTATTACCTGCTTGTTAAGCCAATGCCAGAGCTTGGAGAAGAGACAAAGAGACATTGGGAAGATTATTATTAGAAAGACCTGTGCAGCAGTCATCACATGTACCCGTGCGACAAGAACGCAACCTCTGTTTGGGTACAGGCAGTGAGGGATCAAGAGGTGGCAGGCAGGGTGTAACTACAGGCCGTACAGTGGGATGGAAATCAGCAGGATTACAAACACAGAGTTGCTGGTATCAGAGAATACTATAGTAGTTTGCCCTTTAATAACAATATTAAATTTTTTTTTATATAAAAATAACCTTTAAACACAACATGGACATACTGTCACCCTTAGAAATTTGTAATGGGGCTACCTCACCATTTCCTTCAGCAGACATTATAATTTATTTGGAGTCGTGTTTCTGCCCACCTGATGAATGTAAATCCAATATTCAATCTCTCCCTAACTCTGTTTCTGTCTTTACCCACTGCTGAGGTAATATTTGGCCGTTTAGCAGCTAAAGGTTTAGTGCTATGTTCACCTGCTAGGCGCTGACGGTGTCTGTCTGCAGTTTGGAGCTTTTTCCATGAAAACATCTGCCTGCTGCTCCCAGGAATCACACAAATAAGAGCAGTGAAACTGGGCAAAAATAACAAACTGGCAGCCTGAAACTCAAATCGAAGCAAAGCAAAGACTCAAGACAATCCATTTGCTGAGGGGAGTCTGGAGATCATTTTTGTGGGTTTGTGAGTACGAGTGATACATTTCACTTTACACAGTAATTTTCATTAAAACATTTATTATTGCAGCTTTAATATTGGTTTTGACCAAATCTGTATCTGAAACAAAGTATAAGCATGGACATATTGTACTAATCCCAGTGGAAATAAATAAACCAAAATCTAGCAGATCTTAAATACATTTCAACTTTGAACATTTTGTGCTGATATTTCCTGTGGATCAGCAAAATCTGAATGAATTTATGCAACAGGCAGGAGATTAAAACAAACACACGATGTTCTTCTCCACCCTTGCTAAGCTGTCATGAGGGACATATATATATATATATACATATAAAATAAACATAACTGCTTTTATCACTATAAATGTGCACAAAAATTCATACATGCATCTATAACTGACAGGCTTAATTACTACAAGGCTATTTTCGCAGGTGTTCATGTTACATTAATAAGATGACTGCAGTTAACCCTGTATTCTGCTGCTAGGCTGGTGACTCTCCCTGTACCTTTCTGCAGCCTGGCTCTGGAGCTCTATGGTTCTGACGAGCAGTCACCAGCCACATAGACCTGATCAGTGTTTGATTGATTGTTGTGTCTTGTTGCTTTTCTTCTTTTATCTCTCCTCTATTCACTCACCCCAACCGGTTGAGGCAGAAGGCCGCCCACCAAGAGCCGGGGTCTGTCGGAGGTTTCTTCCGTTAAAGGGAGTTTTTCCTCCCCACTGTCGCCAAGTGCTTGCTCAAGGGGGATTTGTTGAATTTATTTCTATAATAATAATAATAGTATTAGGAGCTTCTTTGTTTAACTTAATTATATGTGAAGCACTTTGAACTACTTGTATGTATGAATTGTGCTAAAAATTGAAATGATTAACTGACTGAATAAACAACGGATCTATCCGTCATGACCTTGTCATGACATCCAAGTCTATTTGTCCAGAATCCTTTCTTCAACATAATTTACACTAGAAGCAATATTTAACACCCCTAAAACAGGGAGAAATTATTTGAATATTTTTCCAGAATCCTTAATAGTCCAAGTGTAACCTGTTTGCCTAACCTTCAACAGTTGCTGATCAGACAACCCTGATAGCTGCTGAGGGCTTTAAATGTGGATAGTGACAAATTCACTATAAGAACACTAACAGATGTACCTCTGTAACAGAAAGCATGCGTGCCTGAATGAGGAAGTGTGAACTCAAAGATAAAGGACATAAGAACAGCAGCTGCACCAGCAATACCTGAAGCCGAGGCATTACCTTGGTATCAATACGAAGCAGGAACTGAGTCAAGCCTTTGATTGGTCCAGGCAGCAGGGCCTCCTCTCGCTCACGTCCAAATATCTCCAACATTGCCCACCACGAGGCGAGAGTCCGCTCTGCAAAGCTCTTTAGGCCAAAGCGAACCACCAGCTTCTTCAACACCCACACTAAAGCATCAATGCAACATGTGCCTTAGTATAATATAAGTAGAAGAATGTCAACGTGTCTGTACATTCATATATTTGTTTACACATGTGTTACCAGCCACAGGGATAGGCAGCAGTTGTAGGATCCATAGGTTGAGCCAGATCTGAACCAGGACTATGGCCCAGAGCAGCATAATAAAGTAGATATCACTGGCTCTGTGGGAGCGTCTCTCTTTCTGGAAGAGGCCACCTGGTAACGAACGAGAGAACCCAGGGGTGGCAGGAAGCGGGCCCACAGACTGCACACCATCTTGGGATAAGAGGGAGGTGACAAGGCAAGCATAAAAGAGGAAAGAAAGTGCAAAGCAATAAGAACTGGTGTTAATCACTGTACCAAGAACTAACCACTAAATGCTGAAGCCAAAGCAGAAGTGGCTTCATCTGAAGTTCCTCTAATGGCTGTTAGAAGCTGAGTCCAAGATGACTGTGCAGAATAAAAAAATCTATTTCTCTATTAAAACAATTACCGGGGTCTCAATAGTTAATCTGACTTCTTCTGTAAATCTCTGTGGTGATTTTAAGATTAATGTCCATTAAAGTGATATGAACACTTACAGACCAGTAGGTATTAGGCCCTGCTTGCTCGATCAGTCATGGTGGTTACTGACTAAACATGAATCAGCACCAAGCCTTCCTCCATCCTGCCTATTATCTCACTCCAGTAAGTGAGGAAACCAACTCTAGGGCCACAGAGAGCCTGCAGCCTATGAACTGCAGCTGGAATAAAGGCTTCTGTAACACACTGAGCCAGGTAAAGGTAAGCTGTCTTACCTGTGGCATCGTCTTGACTGGGCTCACTTTTCAGCTGAAGGTTGCTACAGGAGATTGCCATGTAAATTGTATTAGCAGCAAATGACAACACCTGCCCTGACAGCTCTCCTGGGGAGGTGAAGAGAGACAGAGGATTAACAGGGACACACATAACAGCTCAGGGTGTAAAGGCAAAGGCCAGATATAATGTAATCTAAATGCTGGCTGAGATTGAGGGCCAGAGATAAGAAATTATGGAAATAATCTGTTGATCATAGTTAATCATTATTATTTATAATCTTATTTGACTTCTAAAACAATAGGAACAACAACAACTTAGGAAATACACATTCATTTTCTTGCATTCTCATATCTTAGTGCAACACAGGTAGCTTAGCTTAGCATAAAGACTGGAAACAGTGTGGAGGAGCTAGCCGAGCTCTGTTCAAAGGTAACAAACTCCCACTACTGCACCAGCACCTCTAATGTTCATGAACTGAGATGATACGTATTGTACACAGATGGCTGCCTCAGTTATGTGCTCCCATGTGCTTTTGTTGTTGTCGTTCTTGTCTTTCTTGTCATGTTTCTGCAACCCTTCTTGGATTACTTTTACTCAAAACAGTAGAGATGACAGTGGACTTCAGGAAGAACCCCACCCCCACACCATACTCAGCAGCACTGTATCAGCAGTAGAGTCCTTCAAGTTCCTGGGCTCCACTATCTCCCAGGACCTGAAGTGGATGTCCAACATCAGGACCAAGAAGGCACAGCAGAGGATGTACTTCCTGCACCAGCTCAAGAAGTTCAACCCAGGACCTGCTGAATCATCAAGTCTGTTCTCTGCTTATCCATCACTGTCTGGTTTGGTTCAGCAACCAAACAGGACAGGAACAGACTCTAGCAGACAGTCAGGACTTCAGAAAGAATCATGGGAGCCAGCCTGCCCTCCATGAAGGACCTGTACACCCCCAGCCTGCCCTCCATGAAGGACCTGTACACCCCCAGCCTGCCCTCCATGAAGGACCTGTACGCCCCCAGCCTGCCCTCCATGGAGGACCTGTACACCTCACAGGTCAAAAGGAGGGCAGAGAAGATTTCTGCAGACCCCTCACACCCTGGACACAAACTGTTTGAACTCCTCCCCTCTGGACATAGCTACAGGCCACTGTACGCCAAGACAACCAGACACAAGGACGGTTTCATCCCCCAGGTCATCACATTGATGAACACTTAACCCAAGTTTATATGTATAACAAAATACAGCAACCACCACAGTGCAATAACCTATAGACAATCACTGTACACACATAATAGCTCTTTTTAACTGGTATATGTGAACATAGATTTATCAACATATTGTTGATTTTTGTCTTCTTGTTTTTACTTGTTATTCAGTCTTTTACTCTGTTTTTATTGTATTTTATTTGGTGCACATTGGGGGCCACTAAACTGGAGTGAAATTCCTTTGACTGTAAAGATTATGATTGATTGATTGATCCATACAGAAACATTTACTTGTACTCTTAGGATTATAGTTACTGTATGAATGGACAGTTATTGGGGAATAAAGGCCTCTTACTGTGGTAAAATGTGAACATGTGTGTGTCCATAAACCCTCACCTCTGCCAGGAACAGGTGGTTTCTCTTGAGAGCCCACAAAGAGGAGTATAACCACAACCACAAATATGGGCACTCTCCACGAGCCGGTCAGAGACACTACAGACAAATATAGAGACACGGGTGAGATCATTGTGCTCTTTCTCTTTTCTTTTGTGAAGAACCCTGCTGCTCTTAAGCTGTAACATTACTCTGTCGACATTACTCTGTCGACATTACTAGTATGGCCAAATTTTCCCAGCAACCCTCTTCCTTTCTCTTCACTTGAGCAGAACTTCTTAATAGCTCTCAGTCACTTTCAACTTTTCATACTTCAAGGTCAAAACCTTTTTCGGCACGCCTTGTGTGTGCTAAATATACTTATGACCAGTGCTGTGAAAGTTCACACTTACCAAGAGCTAGATCAAAGTTCAGTTCACAGACATTACAAGGTACTGGTTCACATTCATATAACCCACCAGAGGATTCTGATCATGGATGTACTGATTCTCATTATTAGCTCCACACTAGTCTTTGATGGAGCCAGACAATTTTCAACCCTTGCTGGTGAGCAAATAGTTAAAGATCATACCAAAGAAAAGAAGCACACTTCAGTTGCTGTTTTGTATCATACAGTACTGACAGAACAATTAGCCAATTTTTCAACATGTAGCTAAACATACCAGTCAACGACACGTCCACAACTGCTGCTGTGCCATGTTTCAAACTTCACCGTGATTGACAGCTACCGACACTTAATGATAACAAGCAGCCTGCCAAATGTTTACAACAGACCAGCCATAACTATGACCACCCACTCAGGCCTGTCTCATCTTAAACAAGGTGATTTTTACTCCTCTGCCTCTGTGAATCAGCATCCACATTATTAAATCCAAGGTGGATCATTCCATATGATACACCTGACATTCCCTTGTTGTCCTGGTGTTCTGGATCCGTCCATCCATGTATCCTGACTTTAAAAGGAGTGTCCAGTAACGTTATTTTAAAATTCAGTGGGTCAGAAAATTGAGTCAAAGTGTGCTGACCTAAAATTGGCTCACAGGTCAGATGGCTCAGTCTCTTATCTAGGTGTTTTAGGAAAATCTTAACTGGCAGTCAAGTCAAATGCCGTGACTCATGGCCGACAATGATGACTAATAAGGACACAAAAACACCGTTCATCTAGTCCCAGTAATGTTTATTTCTTAAACTTAACAAACACTGAGATGTTTCTGGCCTCTAGTGAAAACTCCTGCCCCTTTAGTTTACAATAGTCACTACTCCTGAAGCTGCTAATGCTAAAATATTTCCTGTTGCTGCTCCTTCACATTAAAAGCATTACATTTTCAAAACTAGGAATGCCTATTATTGTGAGGCAGTGACAGGAAATGTAATCTGCCACCGACATGAGCTGGACTCTTGTTTGGAGAAGGAAAACGCTCCACAATGTTGAACTGCGAGATGGGCAATGACTCAGGATATTAGCAATATTAAAAAGCAAAACCACCCTGCTGTGAGCAAAACTCACATTCACGTTATCAAGTTGTTCAATACTTCAGTCCCTTGCCTTTGAAAGGAACAGTCACTGGCACAATTCTCTGAAGCTTATTTAGTAGGTTTATTGTGATAAAATGTTCCCTGGGGCAAAGAGGGAGTGTACCTAAAAGTATGAAATGATAACCAACATGTCTGAGCAGGCTCTTGAGCTCCACCACCTCTCACCACTCACCAGTGTAAAAGAGCAAGATGGACCACACTGGAAGAGCCAGGGCCCTCAGGTAGCACTCAATCTGGGGACTCCACATGAAACAAACAGCCAACACGTAGCCAAACACAACAGTGCATACCTGTCCAGAAGGAACCAAGAGACAGAATGGTACAAGAATAAAAAAAACTTTAGGAGGCTGTGATGGGCATTTTATTGATTAATCAAAAACAAACTGCTGATTAATCAATAATGAAAAGAATGGGTAGTCGCAGCCTAATATAATGCATAACAGCAGAACACAGGTCACTGTATTGAACATCATCTTGTATGGAACTTTGCTTACATTTGCCATATGATGAATCATGATATATCAATATCAGTAACATGTTCTTATAATATTCCTGGCCAACCAGAGCTATGAAGAGACTGTCAATAGGGTCAGCAGCTCAATTAATATCACTGTCTCTAGATTAAAGAGTCAGCTGCTGCCTCTAAATGTCGTTCATGTGAGTAACATGATAGATCAATATTTTCCTAATCTTTTTCCTCAGCTCCTATACATTTCAAAAACATGAAGTGAACCAATGACTGCAGCAAACAACAGTAAAAGCCTAATAACAGTATGCTTCAGTTTGTAATCAGGTGGATCCACTCCACACAAAGACATCTTTCTTTGTAATTTAATACAGTGTCTGGCTTCCAATTTATAGTCAAGGCCCCTGCGTCAGTCTACATCTGCATTTAGAGAAAGGACGGGTGGTCTGAGGTGGAACATTTAATGCAATTTGTATCTAGTCAGAGCAAGACCAGGCTGAGGCCCCCTGGAGCTGTTCTGGAATAATAAAGTATTGATCGATCAGGCAGTTGATGTGCAGGAAATTAGATCGAGTCACGCACAAATTTAGGCATATATTCTAAGAAAACAGCTTTCTGTATTGAGGTTAACTGAATGAACCCTTATTAGATATGTTGAAATAAATGCAATACATTCTGCAGCTGCAATCAGCCTGCAGTGCTTTTAATCCGGTATCAGTGACAAATACCATTCAGTTTCCAAACACAAAGGTTTCCATATTAAATTGGTTGTTATAAACAACCTACAGTTCAAAACCAAAAGATATTCAATTCATAGACAACAAAAGAAATCAAGATATTCACACTGGAGATGCTGAAACAATGAACTTTGGGTATTTTTACTTTTAAAAAAGCTTTAATGATACGGGCCACAAAATGTAGCTTATTCATTCGAGCTCTGTATTTGTTTTTGTTTTGCATGTTTGAAGATAAATTAAATAATAAATCGGTATATAAAGCATGTATGTGATTTTGTATCTATACATTTTCTGTATAGATGCAACATAAACAGTGGGGGAAATGTCGCCTCTGGGCTGCAGCCCTGTCTAGGACGACCGAGCTGACCTCACCCACCCAGTGGTACTGACAGTGGCTGACACAGAGGCCTTTGTCACCATTACTAGGGAGGGTGTTGAAACCAGTTGCCAATGTCCATTCACTCACCCACACAGCGTGGAAACAGTCCAGCGTGGCCCCGATGATCCCACAGACGTGCCCGATGATCACCTGCATGCCGATGACGCTCCAGAAAAGGTACAGGAAGTAAACCAGCGGCGCCCCGGCCCCGATCGCTAGCAGCAGTGTGAGCCTCGCCAGCAGCAGCCTGCCCATCGCCTCCACCCCGTAGTTCACACACCACACTGGTACCAGCAGCGTCACCACCACGATGGGCGTTCCGCTAGCAGCAGTGTGAGCCTCGCCAGCAGCAGCCTGCCCATCGCCTCCACCCCGTAGTTCACACACCACACTGGTACCAGCAGCGTCCCCACCACGATGGGCGTCCCGGTGTCCTGCAGGCCGCTGAGCCACGAGCGGCCGATCCGGGCCAGGGAGTATTTGAAGGGGTGGAGGAAGGTGCCGCAGAGCACTGCCCACAGCAGCGGGCGGAGGAAGGCCTCCAGGATGAAGTAGACCAGGACAGCTGCCCCACAGCAGATAGCCACAAAGATCATCGCCCCTGTGTTGTAGAAGGCCTGTTTTATGTTTTTATCAAACTTGAGGGAAGAGGGATGGGTTAGCAGCTGGCTCACCATCCCGACGGCCGGTTGGACGCTATCGGAGAAAGAAACAGAATGAGGCCGGTCAGTGTGAGGGCTCTCCGCTGATGAGGCGGCGGCAGGATCCGACGCCGTGTCCTCCTCGTCTGCCATGTTACCAGCTCCCGCCTCAGAATTCCCTAGCAATGAACCCACGCGCGAGGAAGGAAAACATGCGATGCCGTACAACGACACGCCCCAGGGCACCATGGGCAATGAAGTTCAAATGGGAAATAAACACTTTCTGTATTTTATTCTTCATTGAAAGGTGCTAACAAGTGAGGAGAGTGTGCAGAGAAGATGGAAGGAGTATTTTGAGGAACTGATGAGGAAAATGAGAGGGAAAGAAGGGGGGAAGAGGTGAATATTGTAGAGCAGGAAGTAGCAAAGATTAGAAAGGATGAGGTGAGGAAGGCTCTGAGGAGAATGAAGAGTGGAAAGGCTGTTGGTCCAGATGACATACCTGTAGAGGTGTGGAAGTGTCTAGGAGAGACAGCAGTGGAGTTTCTATCTAGTTTGTTCAACAGGATTTTAGAGAGTGAGAAGATGCCCGAGGAATGGAGGAGAAGTGTACTAGTGCCGATCTTTAAGAACAAGGGTGATGTGCAGAGTTGTAGCAACTACAGAGGTATAAAGTTGATGAGCCACACAATGAAGCTATGAGAAAGAGTAGTGGAAGCTAGGCTAAGAAAGGAAGTGGATATCTGTGAGCAGCAGTATGGCTTCATGCCCAGAAAGAGCACTACTGATGCAATTTTTGCTCTGAGAATGTCAATGGAGAAGTATAGAGATGGTCAGAAGGAGCTGCATTGTGTCTTTGTGGATTTAGAGAAAGTGTACGACAGAGTGCTGAGAGAGGAGCTATGGTACTAGCAGCTGTTGGCAGGTGAAACAAACACTGCAGATGAATCGACTTCTGTCTGTGTTCAAACTGAACACTACTGTGTATGCTTGGATGTAGTTGAAGCATCTGCTACTGTATGTAGCTGTATGGGGGTAAAAAAAATGTTTTATTAACTTATAGATGTATGTATGTAGAATACATGTGTATGAATGAGAGGGAGGGAAGTGGAACAGTGAGGTTAGATGGGGCTGAGGTCAAGAAGGTGCAGGAGTTTAAGTATTTGGGGTCAACAGTCCAGTGTGATGGGGCGTGTAGGAAAGAGGTGAAGAGGCGAGTGGTTGGAGTGGGTGGAGAAAGGTGTCAGGAGTGTTGTGTGACAGAAGAGTGTCAGCAAGAATCAAAGGAAAGGTGTACAAGACAGTAGTGAGACCAGCTATGCTGTATGGGTTAGAGACTGTAGCAGTGAGGAAAAGACAAGAGGCAGAGATGGAGGTAGCAGAGATGAGGATGTTGAGGTTCTCTTTAGGAGTGACCAGGATGGACAGGATTAGGAATGAGCACATCAGAGGGACAGCTCAGGTCAGCTGTTTTGGGGACAAGGTCAGAGAGGCCAGATTGAGATGGTTTGGACATGTGCAGAGGAGGGATAGTGGTTATATTGGTAGAAGGATGTTGGAGATGGAGCTGCCAGGCAAGAGGTCAAGAGGAAGGCTAAAGAGGAGATATATGGATGTGCTAAAAGAGGACATGAAGTTAACTGGGGTGAGAGTAGAGGATGCTGAGGATAGAGTTAGGTGGAAACAGATGATTTGCTGTGGCGACCCCTAATGGGAACAGCCGAAAGAAGAAGAACATTCTTCATTTTTAGTTCATATTATTCAAAATATTATTTAATTTTATTTTGCTGGTTTGTTTGTTGTTGGGTTTATTATTTACGGGTACTCCTCACAATTTCTTCTTATTGTTGTTGGTTACTATTATTTTAAGCATTAAATCCAAATAGCCACGTAATGTACTTGTTTAAAGTTACACATAGTAACAGGTACTCTCAAATACCAGGGATATGATGTCAGTGTACTCAATAGTAGCTACAACCTGGGATATAATTATTTCTATTTTTATGCCCAGTGGTTTTATACTGTTTGACAGAGCTGTCTGCTCACACACAGCAAGATCTGTATTTTCTTGTATATACTGCATTTTATTTCCTTTAAATGTTAATTGATTATATACAGACATTTTAACATATGCATCAATTTTTATACAGACTAAATTAACATCCAGGGGTAAAACAGTCTATGTCCAAGCAAAATGTTCTGTGATATTGCTTGTGTATGCAATAGTAACTAATATAGCAATCTCTTTCTGTATTTCTCTGTCTCTTGAGCACAGTGTCAGAATACTGATAAACCCATGGTGGTTGAGAAAGGGAGGAAAAACATTTTAAAGGACATTATGACAAGTGAGATGACTCAAACATAAAAATTAGAAAATGTCAATAAAATCTTTTTATGGTAAATGCATACTGTGGGCAGTTCCTAAAATTCTAAAAACTATATTCTGATAGTACAAACCACCAAATAATTTGTTCCATTGTTTATACAAAGGATGGTAGCCATGGTAAACATGAGTAAACACAAGCTGCGAGCTGTCTGTTTTCATTTGTCCTCAGAAAACCTTTGTTTTTGCCAGGTTCAACATGAAGCACTGTCTTCTCATCCCCAGTGAACAGTGGGGTTTTGAAACCATTCCCAGAATTCCCAGTTCATGCAGTATTTTCAAAAATTTGTGACATTCATTTATTGGGATGTGCACTCACCTTTTTTAAATACTTGGCAGCTATCAAAAATACTGAAAATAATTGGCTTATTTATACTATAACACTACTCTTTTATCAGACCTCTTGTCTTGTACTATTAACAATTCATGATACCTCTATCATAAAGGTCTAATAATTTGTCAAGATCCTCTGTATAGGTTCAGAGTAACGAACACAGTATATGCTCTCTGTTATATTTAATACATCTAATGTAGTCTCTCTGTGCAAAGTGCACATTTGAATGTGGCATCTGAAAAAAATGGCAACTTGTTTTATTGCTGCTTCATCTCCTCTTTCCTCTTTTCTCCATTCTGTGCTTCTTTATGGTGTTCCCATTAGTAAGTAGAAGGTGAGGGCTACTATGAGCAGTAAGCAGAGGGGAGAGTTGAAGGTCTGGTAGGCCGTGGAAGGCATGAAGATGTCCTCGTACTTATAGATGCTGATCATGTGGTCGCTGACTGGAGGACTGTCAATGTCATGCCTTGTGATAGAACCTGTTGGAAAAGGTATGATCATGTAAGGTGTTGTTAAAGGCAGAAAAACACAAAAAGAGTTGCCTTTATGCTAATGTTTGACCACTCGCCTTGTATGGCAGGTCCCCATGCAAACAGGTAATACCATGACAAGTGCAAGTCCACAAGTGTTTCCTCTCTGGGCACATAAAGTGGCCGTTTGAAACGGCAGGTCACCCGGTTGTTCTCAAAAATACCCTCTTCATCTCTTGCTGGGTTTCTCTTGATTTCTTTGGCCCATTGGCCAACATTGTAGAAGTGATGAATCCGCACACGACCGTTATCATCGTGGACACAGCCCATGACATCATCTCCTCCCTGCAGAAATAAGAGGCAACAACAACTGAAGGGATTTTAGGATTTTAAGCTGCTACATAAGGAAGTGTAAATATAATAATACAATACAATACCATTATTATTCATACAAGTAAACCCCGGTGATTTCTGCCAAAGAACCGTCACACAGGAACTGGAGGTATATTTTCACATATTGTCACAGATTCTTTAAATGGATCATAATGTACAAGTGTTATGTGTGAGTTTTCCATGGTTTTCATGTAGGAAACCTAGACAACAATAACCAACAAACCCTCTTTTAATATCGATACATTCTAAATCTCCATATCAACTGAACAACTGTCACAATGGACAGCATGTTAGCTGGATGCCAAGCTCCCTTTGAGCTGGATGTTATAGCAAAGCTGATTCTTGTCATTTCTTTTTATTGTCAGTTTAAAATTGACAGTATAATATTAAATAACAATATAAAAACATGTCTATATGATGAAGTAGATGTAAGATAATAAATGATACATAGTGATAAAGTGGCCGGCCTTCAATTTCCATAAATTGTTACTGACTTAGAAAGTTAAATAAAACTACTTTTGTCACTGTTCACACTTGATTCCAAATAAGTAATTAAGAATAATTAAACAATTTTAGTATAGTTTATATTAAACTGTCAAAGGGTAATTGTTTCTTCTCAGATTGCATAATTTGTAGGATTTTATAGGCATCAACAAAGGAAAAGAATCTGGTATTTCAAAGTAAAGAACAAAAGTTAGAGGAAAGTCAGAAAAAGCAATCACTGACATTATTATGCATAAATAGAGATACTGTATTTTTCTTATAACACCTCTCATCAACATGAAAGCCTTCATTTTAATCTTGGGGCACCTGCTTCTTTAAAATATGATATACAAATTCTGTATTTATTATAAAATTCTTACATAGCCCACATATCTATATTTACATGTTGAATAAAGTTTATATTTAGAGTATGCTTAACAATTTCAAAGACAAAACAAACAACTGCACAGACTGAAAGCTCTTAAAAAGTTGCATCACTGCATCAAATTCATGTGTGTGATTATACGTCATTGACCATATACTGCATTTTCAGTAACTGACACAACAAATAAAATAAAACTACTTGTGCTATAACAAACCATAAATGTGTGTTGTCTTTCCCAAACTAAACACTGGACTATCTTGACAGAGCCCTAACAGTCTGAGGGTTTGCACAGCTGCTCACCATTTTCTTGTCAGAGGAGAAACCTACGGCCACCCAGCCGTCTGTGTCTGCACTCATCTCATACTCCACGTCTGTACCAATGCGACGATAACTCAGAAAGTAGTCACATGTCTCTGCATCACATCCCGGCTTTCCATATCTGAACAGAGACAAATATATTTTCTCAGTGGCTCACAATATTCAGAATATTATAGGCTACTACTGAAAGAGTCAAAGCAGAGCACTGTTTAAATAAGTTTCGTCCAGGCTTCAGAAAACTAAGGTGATGAACACTGAAGAGTTTCCATGTTTAGCTCCATCTCTCTGAAGGATCTTGGATAAAGGGTCCCCAGATAGAGAGCTGACATGAGATGTTTCTAACCTTATGCAGCCTTTGGTTACTCGGAACAGAGCTGCACTGGAGCTCTGTTTTCAGATAGAGAGCTGACATGAGATGTCTCTAACCTTATGCAGCCTTTGGTTACTCCACAAGAGAGCTGACATGAGATGTCTCTAACCTTATGCAGCCTTTGGTTACTCCACAGTCGCTGACTTTGATCTTGGCGAAGGGGTCCACTGGTGGGGCGGTGGGGAACGGATAACCTGCAAAATGCAAAACCAGCAACAAAAAAACATTCGGTGCTTGTTTGCAAGACACTCAAAGAGAGGGCCAGCTAGGAGGAGGCCATCTGCACTGTGTGCGTGTGTGGGGGGAGGGGGTTACCATCCGGGGAGCTGGCCTGGGTGCTGAAGGGCCCCGTGAGGAGGAGACAGGTTGGATGCAAGGCAAAATAAACAGCACATGTTCCATTTCTGCGTATTTGTCTCTGGCCTGCGCTATTTAATCTTGCATGTCTTAAGTTTGCCCTCATGTAAACGACCTGTAAACAAAATCCAATCTTTAGTAAATTGCACTAGAGCCTTACCGTCATCGGAGAGATATCTGGACTCCAGGAACTCAGAGGCGAAGGTGCTGTAGGAGTCCTTGTGCGGCTCCTGGTGTCCCGGTTCTCCGTGCTCGCCGTGGCCGGTCCTGAGTGCTCCCTCATCGGTGGGGCTTGGCGCGACCCCCGACCATCCGATCTGGATCAGCAGCACCAAGAACTGCAGGAGCCTCCGCAGCAAAATCATGGTCAGCAGTATGAAAATAGGCCAAATAAACACGACTAAACCAACCTGACATCAAACCTTCTTTTAGTTTTCATTTCGCTATCTTCGCAGACATCCATCGCAGCGTCACAGAAATCATCTCCGCATCCCAGTTGCCTGTTTGGATGTGGGGGGTTTCAGCGCCGTTGACCGTGTGATTAAGAGGCTAATTCAACCCCAAATTACCGAGATTCGTAATCTTACCATCTAATTCAGATACACGCCCCTAATCCTCTCTGAAATCCGAATCCAGATGTTTATTAGTGCTCGTTAATCTTTGCACAATTGGCCAAACGAATGGTTTCGCCCGGCTTCCCTTTCTTCTCCCTCAGCAATCAGTCACCATGATGTCCAATGAGGAGCTGCAACGTGCTGCTATCAGGATCGATCAAATGGGGGATTATGCCCTGTAGAATCTGCTTTGCAGAGGTTAACACGCAATTACAGATTTGGAGTAGCCTAGTCTATAATAATCTACAGTATGTATCTATCCAGAATAAAAATAAGAAATTAGAATAGCCTATATCAACAACTTTCAAATTAGTAGTTCATAGCCTACTAAACGCTGAAACTACTGAAACCAGCAGTACATTCTACAGTACATATAGTCCTCAGCCTGAAACTTCCCAAATTAAATAAGGACATGACCCTGTGTCCTAAATGGTCATTCTCGATTGATGCATCATCATCTATAGGACTACATTTTCTTAAAAACTGATGCAATTTGTGCATCCTTGTATGCACTGACCGTGTGTTATTTATTAATTAATTTTCAGCTCAGCTATAATTTGTGAATTTGAGTTGCTGCTTTAGGAACACTGCTGCACAGGTAAGTGTGTACAGAGCATTTCTAAATTCAGACACAATATGAAGCCTACAAGGTTTGAAAGGGTCAATGTGCATTGTTGCAACTGAAATAAAAGTGTAACTTGGCTCAGAAACATCATCTGACTTTTCTCTTTTACATCCTTCAGCTGTTACTTCATCTTCACAGTCCTAGTCAGTGGCTGTACACATTCCTGCCACTTGATGGGGATATAAGTCCACAGGTTGGCTCCTGTTTTCTTTACTTTTAGCCTATTTTTATGCTTCATGGCAGGGAAAACTACTACTTTCTGTGCAGTGCAGTATATAGCCAAATATTAAACTGATGTGGGTTCAATAAATGTCTCATTAACTTTTTTATTTTCCTTTCACAGTGATAGTGGAGTACATAAGCAAAGTTTTACTTGCACATTTTAAAAAAAATTGTCACCTCAGTGGTCTTGTGCCTTATTTAGGATGTAATCCTGGCAAATCAGGTAAGTATTGCTTCATTATGAAATACAGAAGACATCTAGAGAATCTGTCATGACTGATTAAATGATTCCTGTGCCCCTTGTTGAAATATTGTAAACGTTATTCATGAAGACAGGAATGATTACAGTGAAATTAATATTTTTACACTTGATCATCACTGGTCTCTAAGTTCTTGAATACTTTCATATTCCATGAGTCAGTCCATAAACTCTTAGAAGTATAAACATAACTCTAAAAGTCTGACATGTTGTGCAAGTTTAACAAAAAATCTCAAAGGAATTTAGGTTTGCAACAGAATCTAATTCTGTATAGAAATCATTATGAGGGCAGTTACACCCTAATCCCTAGAAATAAATATATTGTGCCTTATTAAATTGTGTAATGAATTTAGTACTAGACAACATATTTAATTTATTATCACATGTATTTATTTATAGAATAAAGCAAGTCTGTTGGTTAACACTGTTGTTGGTTAAATGTATTCAATTACCTAAACCAATTAAATATATAATATTTAAGTTAATTAAATCTTTTCTTTATATTTAGTCAAAAAGCAACAATGGTGTAGAAAATCTTGGACATTTCCAAATTTTAGAAGCTGAGGAAGACAGGAAGAAAGCAGGGAAACATTGCTGTGCATGTCTGGATCCTGTAGGTGATGCTGGTGCTACACTGTACTAAACAGTCTAAAAGGGTAAATAGACAACAGTTAGAAAGTTGGGGATGACTGACATTCATAATCACACACACAAACATAACCTAGCAATATAAATGGTTTGAAAAATCCCAAACACATGATGAATATTTGTACAAAATTTGATAGGAAATTATAACACGGATAAAATTCTTAAGCTCTAAATAACGACAGCTTTTGCATTGTGATTTTTCAGGCATATTCCACTATGTCTGTGTGTGTGTGTGTGTGTGTGTTTGCATGTACACGTTCATTGTTGTAGGTTCACACTGGACTGTGTCCAGATCTAAAGAGCATCCACTAATGCATGTAAAGTGTGTCTTTGTTTTTGTATCATGCATTTGCACATACATGTGTGTACATCTGAGCATGTGACCTTTAACCCATCCTCTCTTCATACCATCTCCTTCTGTAGACACAAATCAGCCTGATCAATCACTCTGCTTGTTCTCTATCTGCCCAATTATTCCTTGTTTATCCTCCTATTATTGCTGGGTAATGAGGGACTTTGGGCGTACCAATCTCATCTTAATAGCCTTAAAGGACCACTCATTAACACAACCACTCACTCTGGCTCACACACACACACACACACACACACACACACACATCTGTCCCTGCACCTCATACCATAGAGACAAGTGGAGTGACAGAAAGAGAGAATGACTGAGGGACTTGATGGAACCAATAGGAGAGAGAGAATGAAACAGGAGAGAGGAAGGGGATGGTGGGAGAGGAGCAATGGGGAGAAGGTGAGGCAGGTGGGGGGATGGGGAGCCTGGTAAATGTCAGTGATGTGTCTCCTGGGCCTGAGAGACGAGTGACAGGAGAACAATGGCAGCTGGATCCATTCAGAAACACAGCTGCTATGAGTGAATGCCGGGATCTGTCTTTTGCTTAGCCATCAACCAGCACTTGTACAGGCAGAACTAAACACATACACACACACACTAACAAAAAAATGTATGCCCTGTGCACATGCAGACACACACAGCTATGCATCTGGACACACAAGGTAAGCCCTGAATATTATGGGGGATCATAGGCGAGTGGCCGGCTTAGTCAGAGCTGTCAGTCAATAACAGTAGACTGATAAAAACTGGCCAGTTGAACACATGCCTTGCATACTCATATCTCTGCCGCTGCGTCTTCTCTCCTCTGTCTCCTTAAAGGATAAGCCTGATAACAATCTACATTTTTGTTCCAATGAAGGGACTAAAGGCAGCAGTGCAGTGATATGACTAAGTTGTTTGTGTTGCCAAAGCCTGATATAGCTTATTCCTCTGTGCCATAGAACTTGGTGTCCAAAACACATAAATGACATCTTCAGGAGTGACATATTGTTTCTTCAGCATGAACACAGACACCATAGTTTGTATCTGAGTCAAACCCAAATCTAATGCCAGATTTTCCTTTCATGTATCACCATCAAATTCAAGTCACCGAGCTAAGTGTCTGTTTTACTGAGGGGGGGCATAACATTTACTGACAATAGATCACTTAACACTCATCACTGATTATTTCCAGTATTTCCAAAATCCTCATCTAGAATATCATATATCATTTCTGACTACCTGGACAGTTGCAACTTGGGTTAACATTTTATTGTACAGATTATCTAAATATAGATGATTAGAAGAGCCATGGTGATTCTGAAAACACCTCCAAAACTGTAGAAAAGATTGTTAAATGACAGGGTTTATTAAAGATCACCAGGTATTTAACTTTCAAAAAGAATCGACTTTTAGCTGTGATTCAAATATCACAGTCATACCCCTCTATCACATGGTGCTATCCTATATACTCTGTTCTCAGCTCTGTAAATGCTCACTAGTGTGACAAATGTGTGTTCATGAATAGCCCCCAACAAATATACTTTTTACCTCTCTTTGAGAAACTTTCACTGAAAGCTATAATACCCAACTTGGGAAATTACTGAGCCTTTGTTTAACAATGAAAATATTTTGAACCCATTTTTAAGGATCAAATGAAATTCTGTGAAACAAACTATTGTTGATTTTGGTCTTTTCATGGAATTTGCTGGCAATAAGAAACATATATAATGACTCTAGTCTTATTTTTTTATTCCACATCTGCACTTTGTTTAAAATAAGTAAAAATATTACACCTACTCCTCTGCTCAAGCTTTTATAATAACTCTATACATTAACTTTATTACTACTCTTTTCACTCATTCCTTACACTATTTGTAGAAGTATCTTTTTATTCCCTCTTAAAGCTGCAAATGTAAACCTGTAAGTTTTTTCTGATTCTAACATCTTTACAGTGGATACCTCCCAAATCATTCTCTGTTGAACAGCTAGATCACTTATTGACTCAGCTTTGCTTATAACGCCAACATATTGCCTCTGTCTCACACACACTAACAGTCATAAAGCAGGTCTGTGATCTACTGTCCACCACCCCCAGGGCTTAATTTAGGAGATGTCAGAAATGACTTCACTCACAGAGGACACTATTGGCATGTTCTTCTGTCAGCACAGCAAACACACCTCCAGCTCAACCCTCCCACCTTCACACCCACGAGGACACTAAACACATACACATCCCTACAACACTATGTTTATTATTGGGTAGCTGTCTGTGACAGGGGGATATGAACAAACGTGTGTCCACCTTTGTCTTATTTGCATACCTTGCTTGGTTCATGCAGTTTATCTGCTGTGGTCTCTGTGTGTACCAGCAGCTGAAATGTTCCACTGTACTGATAAAATGTTTGCTTTAGAGATAAGAAGACACAGATGAGACATCCATCAACACTCGTTAAACACCTCCAAAAGTGGTGACACACACAAACACGCACATGCTCAATTACATCCACAGTACAGTCGACAAACAGAAAAAATATTTAAGCTTTGAATACATTTGATCTAATTTCAGCCTCTCATACATTGGTCCCCTGCCACGTAAGTGGTTCTCACAGCTCATATTGACAGCTGATTTATAATGCTTGTTGTCAGTAGACTTATCCATTAAGCTGTGACACTGTCCTCTCTATATAGACATGCCGACTAGCCAGGGCCTTCAGCAGTGATTATGGTGTTGGGCTTTGGGAGCTAGGGGCTGCACCGTCATTAGTCTGGTTAATCAGAGCCTTGCTCCAGGTTAAGCTCCGTAGACTCTAGAGATAGGCTGATGAGCTGAGAGCCGTGCCCAGCCTACAGTTCTCAGGTCTGGGCTCCAGCGACTCCCCTGGCCCCCTGCCTGCTCCAGCTCCAACCAGTAATCTATAACTCTACCCTGGAGCACCGCGCGGAGGCTCAGCCTCCTGGACAACACTGACACACGATGAATGGTAATGAGACACACAGAATGACACAC